CAGTCAGCATGCAGACAAAGGAGAGCTGGTTGGTACCATATTCTTGGGCTTTCCAAATGTATTCTATACGGGCCCCATCTAAAAGCTCTCAAAAAATAGGCAGGACTGTTCAGATTGCAAAAGGTACAGCTAAAGGAGACAATACACGAGAAACTAAGTAATGTGCACTACTTTTACAGCGTAAGAACTCGATGGCATCAAAGCTGGCATCTGGCAAGAGCCAGATTAGACAAAGAAATCCAAAGAAAACCTCTAAAGATATTAACCTTCATACACAGGTGACTATGTCATGGAATAACTATTAATGCTGAAAATTATGTGTAAAATATCTTTTTGATCCCACTTAAATGAATATTACTCATCAATAGCTAGGAAACACCATGTCAACTTATATGGCTTCAAAAAAACAAGTCACAGGGGGCTGAGAAAAAAGTATTGCCACTCACTTGCCTTCTTCCTGAAGTCTTGCTACTGTCTCTGGGCATCTACTGCTGAACACAAGACAATGGATTGGATGTTGGCTTAGATCTGCTTCACAGTGAACAGAGGATTTGTGGCAGAACTGAACTCCCTCGAGTTTCAACTCCAATTATAGCACCCTATCCAGCTGACCCTTCCTCATCATCTGTTTGGTTTTTATTTGCTATTTATATTCTTAATAGCAAAAATTCACTACTGAAAATAGAAATAAACACAAATGAATGGTATCTTCTTCTGTTTAATGCTTTACATTACAGGAGTAAATATGTGACCCTTAAAATATGACATCTTCAATAACTGACTTAACAGTAACATCAAATAGTAGCCTCACATTTTTAAAACTTAGATATTCAGCAATTGATGAGCAACATGAAAGAGGGAACAAAATTACAGGTTTAAGGTTAATAGCTGATTTCTTTACTAAAGGGAACTTTAACAAATCTAAGACTAAGGAGTTGTGTTTTACATTAAAAATGATGATTAGTATTACAGGCAGTGCATGACTAGACTCTTATAATAATGAACCCTGGCCACTGCCTTTGCTATGAATTACAATGATGTGCAACTTGACAGCGGTGTTATTAGCTGACACACAACATTTCAAGAGTCTGCTACTGGGGAAGTCTTCCTGCCCAGTGTTATTCAATGAAGCAGCATGCATGTAAATATTACACCAAATAAGAGGAATAGCAAAGATCACAGGAATTATTTGGTGGGTTATATTTAGTATTTAACTTCTCTAAACAAGAAAATCAGGATGTTTTTAACTCTGGTTTCATAGATGTGAAACTAGTGTAATCAGAATCAGGTTCGAAATCTACATAAATATTCCCCACAGTTCTAATAAAACTCTATCATCCCCTGACAATCTCTATTTACTGTGATTTTCTCACTATGCTGTACACGGCTAACATGTAATTCTACTGTTCAGCTCAGCTTACCTGTTACCAGAAGTACTCCATAGCATTTTATTCATATTCATTACAGAAAACAAGAAAACACATAAACCCAGGAAGTAATTTAGAAGAAATAGATCTAATTTTTAAAGTGAGCACTTCAACCCAAAACTAGGAAGTTAAAACTAATAGGAAGAACAATGTTTTTAAAGTAATTGATATAGCCCACATTAATGAATTCAGCAGGGAAAAAAAGCACTGAAGCGCTAGCCCTTCAGTATAATGGTAAAGAAACTACAGCAGGTTCAAAGATGATCCATGCACAATGCTAACCAGTGGTGTGATCTGAATCAAAACTCTACCAACACAAACCAATTAAAAGCACCACACTGAACTCCAAACAGGTTTGGGGTTGTTGGTTTTACTGACGGGTTTTTGACATTAAGGGCATGGATATTAGATAGACTATTTCAGAGAATACTGAAAATGCTAATGTAGAACATCACGAGGTATGAAAAGAGGATCAATTCATCACTAACATCAACTCTAAAATGTGCCTTTAACGATTTTGAATAGATAACTCATGGGTGTGAACAGTGGCGCAAATTAAGTCTGAAAATTGGACCATTCTTGGGTGATTTTCAAAGACATTGTGATAAAGAGTTATTTTAATTAGTCAAGACAATCTGCTGCAGCATACAAGGTTAATCCATCCATCATCTTCACACGTATCTGTGGCATTAGAAGCAGCAGGTTGTTTTGTTGCTCTTCAGCACCTTCCTGTTCTATTTTCTGCCACCTTTTCCCCTTCCCTAGGGCAATGCCTAATGTCTGTCTAGGAAATATACAGTAAGGACAGGAGGGGAAAAGGTTCCTTAATTTGCTCCCCTGTCCTTCAAGCCACCATAAATCTAAAGAGGGTCACACTATTCATTTTCTAGATTATCTTTTTATCTCCCTCAGGAAATGACTTTAATAACAGAATGCTGGAATACGTCCCATTCTCGTGATGATTTGATGCAGTATCTGACACTCCCCTCACCTCCACTCTATTTTCTTTACTTCCTCCCTTTCATGCACCCAAAAATGTCTGGTTTAGCAACCCATGAAAAATGGACTCCACAGTTTTGAGTGATTAGCTTTCAGATATATTAATACCATCAAATGTTACAAGTTTCTGACTAAAGGCAAGTAGCTGCACTAAAGAGCACACAGCTAAATATATAGCTACATTTCATAACCTTACCTATAAGACCAAGAGCCAAGGTAAGAATCATGATCCAGTATAAGTTTCCTATAGTAGCAGATCATAAAATACCTTACAATAATCAAAACATTTCAGAAGAGCTAATCAATTTACCATTTTAATGGAAACTGAAAAATTCACATCAGCTCCTCCTTACTACTAGAAAAATCCAGCAATGTGATCACTACAGACCGCAAGAACACAGTGTAGAAAACTCAAAGCAAAAGGAAAATCAAACCTTTACAAACAGATTATGTCTTTCTATCCAGGCATATAAACTATACATTAATTTGATAAACTCACAAATGGCAAGGTATGTTCTGATACTGCTCATTTAGAATGCAGATTTTATGTAGTTAAATCAGATCTCATACTGCTGCAGACGTTTGCTCCCATTGTTAGAGGTTCAGTTCCTCCAACACCACCTTACACGAGCACAATCCAGCAAGAGTAATTAAAATAGGGGAAAAAAATTAATGCAAACTTCCAGTAGCCCAGAGACAGTTATTAATGAAGCTATACCTTTTCTTAATATCAGTGATTTCCTTTAAGAATCTTCAGTCTCAAGCTAGCTAAAGATGAACTCCGCTATTAATGCTCACATTGGTCCTAATGTTCACAATTTCTTATTATGAATCATAATAAGATCATGGTGGGGGGGTTGGAACTAGATGATCTTAAGGTCCTTTCTAACCCAGACTATTCTATAATTCTATGATGGACAAAATTCTGTTCAAAGCTCATCCTTCCAATATCTGCTATTTTCTTAGTAAACAAACTCTAAATGAAGTTGTATCAGCAATATTTGCATGGTATAAAAACAGGTATATAAGGGAAACACCTGACTCAAACATACTCTAAACCATTAAAGTGAAAACAAGAAAACACTCATCCTTCTCTAAAGCTGGATTTTCTTCCCCTGGATGCTCATATGATCAGACGTCCAAATACTTCATGTTCTCACAGAAACATGAAACACACTAAAGTTCTTTTTACAGCTACCATTTTACACATGCTGGGGCTTATGTTTGTGGGTGATGTAATTTGCAGCACATTAATGGGATATCACTAGAATATTCCACTGCTAAATTGAAAAGTAATAGAGTGGAAGAATTCCCATAATACAGAATGTTTAAAACGACCCCATCAGCGCAGCAGTGGCAAAGATTATAAGCTACTCTTTGTGTTCTTGAAAAATATTAAGGCATTCAAAATACCTGTTGCACATTAGCAGTATTTTATCATAACCTTGTAGGACATTAAAAATATCGTATTTGAGTATCTCTGCCTCCACTATATAGAAGAAAACTACCTGACATAGAAAACAGAAGTGTCAGGGGAAAAAAAGGTAAAAAGAAGATCGAATGCTTTCCCACTGTTATCACAAGTTAGCTGACTGACAGTATCAGCTATGAAGAAATGAAACAAAAGATTGGAGTGCATCTGTGTCCTTTCTAGTGCTAAAATAATAACTGCTCAAATGCTGATGCCTCTATTGGGAAACGTACAGGAAAAGGCTGAGGGGATGGGAAGAAGAAGGATGAGTGGGAGGTACAAGAAAAACGGTGGGATTAAAGAAACAAGACAGCAAGAAAGAGGAGAATGCCTTAGGTGAACCTGTCTGAGAACATGCTATCATACGGAACAAACTAAGCAAAACACAGGAGCCCTCCTCCTCCCAAAAATTCCACCTAAATTATTTTAATAACAGCTATTTTGGAAACAGTAAGGTAAATACTAATTTAACATTTGGGTATTTTACAGCTTTTTTACTACCACTATTTTTATTTGATTCAAGTAAGTCACAGGAGAAAGCATCCATGCAGGCATCGCGGATGAGATGCAAGCCTGGAGGAGCTACAAAGACTCTGTGACAAAAGTCAGAAGATTATGTCCTGTAACAAATACTCTGCAAGGATTTTCTAAATGCCCTAAGCACTAGTCAAAGAAATTTGACAGCGAGATCTAAGTTACTGTTCCTTAAGGGGCCCGTAAAGAAGGTGGGAAAAGACCAGTTAGCAGGGCCTACTGTGACAGGGCGAGGGGTGATGGTTTGACACTAAAAATGGGAGATTCAGGCTGGACGTGAGAAAGAAATTCTGTACAATGAGGGTGGTAAAACTCTGGCACAGGTTGCCCAGAGAGGCGGTGGATGAACCATTCCTGGAGACATTCCAGGCCAGGCTGGATGTGGTTCTGGGCAACCTGATCTGGTTGAAGATGTCCCTGCTCATTGCAGGGGGTTGGACTGGATGAGCTTTGAAGGCCCCTTCCAACCCAAACCATTCTATGAGTCTATGACTGTTAATTCCTAATGGGAAATAAACTAACTGAAACAAAAAGAAGCCAGAACAACAGAGAATGTGTAGTTGTATCACCTCACAAAAGCTGGTCTGTGCTCAGTCAGGGCCACCAAGAGTTTCAGAGCATACATTGGTACTGGGTCTGGAGCCATCAAAATGTACTGATACCTGAAAGGGAAAGGGGAAAATAGGTAGCAACACTGAATAAAAGTCAAGAGATGCTTGTTAAAAAGCTGATATTAAAAATACATAATTTTCCATCTCTAAACTTTATAATCGCCACAGTGGAATTGCAACGCTGTTTGGAACTGTACAAAGCAATAAAGGTACAGTATTTGAAAACCAGTATCAGATTCTACTTAAAAGCAGCATTAACAAAAGAACTCATTTTTTTAGAGAGATCTACGATCATAAAATGTAATAATATATCATCATAATTAATGTAACTTACTATTAATACATTAACACTTAATTACTATAATTAATATTGATAATGTTAGTATAATTATATCTATTTCTAAAACGTGTTTTTATCCATAAAATTTATATTGAAGGATTTATAAAACATGCATTTTGTCCATATGATTTATCTAAATTACATATTTTTTATGTATTTAAAAATCTAGTCTTAGAGAGATAAGTAGAAACTGAGCCTCTAAATATTAGGCAGAAGATGTATTGGGTGCTCAAGAAGACCATCAACCAACTTCTACAAGATTAAGCTTTATATTGTTTACATAGTGGTTATTCTCAAAAGGAAATATTTTACTTGTACATCACTTGCTCTGAGCTTTAAGTTTTGTTTCAGATTTCAAAAACCACTGTTTTAACTATAGCGTATTTCCATTCGCCAAGTGGTATGGAACAGAAAATAGTTCAAAACAATGTTTATTAAGAGCTGTGGCAGTGATGATAAAACTACAGTTAAAACATCTATGAAACATTTCACACATCACCTCATGGAAATCTTGGTAAGGGAAAACAGGCTGCTAAGAACCAAACTGGACCTTGCTGTGGCTGCTAACATTCCAGTAATGCCCACCCAGCAAACAGGGCTAGTTTAAGTGTGTTTAATTCAAATTGTGTCTGGATGGCAATAGGATACAATGATGGATGTGAGAATGACATAAGCATAAAAAACCCCCACAAACTCAGCCATGCCAAAACAGTGTCTGATTAAAACAGTGCTACCCAAAACACGTAGAAGTAATAGAACTGGGAGCATGATTCTCTTCATTTGTAAAAGGAAAACCATGAAGAATTGACCAAGTACAAATGAAGGATGGTTTGTGGGAAATGTGGTAGGTTATCATGTTTTGTGCTTCTGCTACATTTTTCCTTTTGTGTGTTCTAATGGGGGAGAGGATGGAATCAAGCAAATAAAGGATTTTCTCCGCACCTTGTGAACCCCTAGTGCTGCTGGATCCCTTCATACCACCTGGGTGCACCTGGCATGTACCCTGTTGTGAGCTAACTCTTCCCTGCATTGAAGATCCCCTCTTCCCCTGCACCAAACCTCAGCATTCTGATTTACATGGGAAGGGAATCTAGAAGGAGATGCAATGCTTTCTGGCCACATATGTGATCTAGACCAGTCTAAGACAAGGAGAGTGATGTAGCCTGTAGAAGCTCCTTCACAGAGGCTGACATTCCTACACAAGCACACAGCCTATGTGCAATGTGTCACGGCAACTATGCATTAGTTTGAATATGCTGCCATAGACTTACAAACCACATTGGAGAAAAGACACAAGTAATGAATTAGAAGTGTTTGTTTTATGTCTTCAGTGATTAAATCTCTTTTACACACAACAGATTTTAGTTCCTGAAAGAAAACTATTTCTCACTGGCAATTAAAAAGTCTCTTTCTTCATAAAAGAAAATACTGAAATGCGTTAGTAGGCCCTGATCCTGGAAGCCCTACATGAGAGCAGTACATATTTCTACCAAGCATTATGAGGCTGTTGGCCTTTTTTTCCCCCATAATCTATGGTTGGTTCTTTTGGTAATCTATGGATGGTTCTTATGGTTCTTTTGAGGCAAGCAAAGATGCTATCAGGTGACTCAAGAGCCAAAAGTCATCTGCTCACGCACAAAATACGGAGTTAGGTCTCCAACATGGTAAGTCCCAATAGTAATAATAAATGAATCAGCCATTCCAGCTCAAAAATGTGATACTTGCTTGTTTATGAATGTGAAACTATGCTTCTTTTACTATAAACACGTCAAACCTTCCCTACACAGGGTCCACTTTAAACAATTTTAAGCCTTCTATGTATGACATTTTAAAGAGACTTCTTATTGTGCAGACTTAGCATCCTAATTCCTTAAGGTTTAATAAGAACCAGACTCACTTTATTTCCTTTTACCTGAAACTCTTTTCTCCTCTCCCTAAAAAACAGTACCAGTAAAGCATATTTGTAAGGGAAAGTGCACTGATTAATCAAACCAAATACCACCTGTGCAAACACAGATTACTAAAGTCAACGTCTTGGCAATTAATATCAGCACACTGCCTGAATAAAGGCCATTAGGCGCTATAAATATATGAATCTCTTCTGAAGGAAAATATTCTGTGCTTGAGATACCTTGTTAAATTAATGAGTTCCTTCAATGATTTCCCTGCCACTTCAAAACACAAGCTAATTTAGCAACAGCAGTTTTAGAGAGCATCTTATAAGGGATCTATAAACTCTCAGTACTACACTGCAAGGAGTTATTTTGCCAATCTTCTCTATAAGCAACCATGACAAGAACTAGACCTGGGGATATGGTTACTCTTAAGCTCCTAAGAGAGACTGAACATTTTATCTACAAATTATATCAAGTATCCTGGACTTCCTACTTGCAGAACTGGCTTGGCAGTCTACTGTGAACAAGCTAGACAATCTTTCAAATGAAATATAACTATATTTACACAATCCTTTCCTTTTGCAGTTTCTGACTCAAATGTCAATTTATATATAACTTGGGATATTACAAATTAAAAAGAGCTGATAGGTCAATGTCTGATAAAAAATCTGGACATGTAACAAAGCATTTGCCTTCTACTCTTTTTATAGCTGAAAGTTTCATTTTAGTTATGAAAAGCTCAGAAAACTGAAATTTAATAACGCTACATGATAATAACACCTCCATTTGATCAAAATTCTATGAAGAAGTTAACTTTCTGATTTACAAATGCACAAATGTTTAATGGAAGCATCACTTTACCAATGATGCTAAAGATGAGGAAAAAAAAGTAACCACTGAATTCCTGCATTTATCTCAAAATGAAGACTGTATTTCAATGCACAGTGCCCAAAACTCTATTTCCTGGCTAAGTTTTACATTTGAACAAATTAACTTGTGGAAGATATTTATAGGAATGAATTACAGAGACAAATGATAATCATTATAACCTTTGTTAGAACATTACATGTTAAACCCAGCTGTCCCTCTCTTCCATACTCAACAGCTTTCAGTAACAGAATCAAAAGGTTGAAACACCTACTTCTCCACACAGACTGCCCATGAACAAACAGCCATTGCCTCTCACCTTTTGACTGTCCTCCAGCCAAGTCACACTCTGTCCCATCCTTTGTCCAGCAACAGAAAAACTAAACAACATCAGCAAACACCTCTTCAACCTCCAAATACAAGCCAGTTGCCTCTTCACTTTCTATCTCAGAGTTTTCAAGTAATTCATACTTCACGGAAGAGAGCTTTACATTATCTTTATAAGTAGGTTACATTGAATCTAAGGCCTCCCTTCTCTTTAGATTTAGGCCAAATCTCTTTGCATTCTTCTTCTGAGAACAATAGAGAGTGTATCTGGATTCATCAATATTTTCTTGCCCATAACTAGAACACTGGTGAACAAAACTTACCTTTCTGGTCTTTTTATAGACCAAAGCATCTGCTTGGTCTTTCCTTAGTTTCTTTTTAAGTCTTGTTCCAACTGAATTTTAAGGGTTTTTTTTTTTCCCCAGAAAACCCTCTTCTGGCTTTTTGTTCCCTCTGTGCCCTTTTGCATTAATTACCTATTCTCCACAGGTGAACATACTTAGTAGGGGCTAGCTCAACCCACAGGTTCAATTAATGTATTAAACATGCAGACACCACTTAACTCTTTCTGAACCACTAAAAGATTTACATACTGTTTTACTCTCCTCCTAAGCTAGAGAAAAAATGTTTATACTGAGTTCCAATCTATTCCAAATATCATAAACTTTAGTATTTTCTTGAGATAAACTCAAATAGTTTTCCAAATAAAAGTATCACCATCTTTATCGGTGAGATAAAGAAACTCACTCAGAAAATATTTAAAACCTGGAATGAAGATTCTGAGTTGCTGCAAGACCCTTTTCAATACATCTGTAATGCAATACATGCAAAGATAGCACAGGTGAAGTCCCTAAAAAGGATCATATTTAGTTTCGGACCGAAAAGCCCTCCTACTCAATTGAGCTAATTATACTGGAGATAGGAGTGTATTGCCTGTTCTCCTTCTAGTTTGTAATCAGCATGATGTATTAATCTTGCGTTCATGCTTTCCTTCCCTCTACTCACAGATGTTATTAGCTCACAGTATGTATGCGTGTAACACAGAAAGCTTGTCTTTATGCTCACCTGCAATGAATTTGAAATGACAGGCCTCATTTGATGACAAACCACATAAATGAAGTTCCAAGCCACACCTGGCCCACAGGCTGTAGTTTTCATCTACTCTTCTGGAGGGTTTTTCTGTTGCTTAGGACAGCAGTAAAAGACAGCAATCCAGAGGCAATAACCCATGGGTGGATCATGGAGGACTAACCCATCCTATTTATTATCCTTTGTCAAAAGTTATATGCCATTCCCTATGCTTTCAGAACATTTTCCATGAGGACACAATATCCCAAATAGACAAAATAATGTTGCTGTTACAATGTTGTCACTTTATTAGCAGAACAAAGAGAAGTATTTAAAACACATCCCAAAGCTAGATGAAATTTGTTTCACTCCAAGAGCAGCCAGAGGCACAGTATCGGAAGTGAGCGTTGCACAAAGTTGTGTTTGTGTTGTATATACAAAGTACTAAATAAACCTAGGAGAGAAACATTGGGCAGAGAACTCTGGCAGCAATTAATTGCTATTCCTCTTTTCATTTTGTTATTTAAACATAAAGAGAGTAGTTAAAACAAATATGCTGTCAAAATGGATTGAGTATCAAGTTATTCCCCATCACAGAAGCAATATTATACTTACTGAGGCAGCAATGAATCTCTAATGAGAGACAGAAGCTTGCTGTTGGAGTCAAGGCTCTCCCCTTTCTCCTCAGCCATGACCTCGTCGTTTAAAAGCAGTGATGTGGTTTCTGCGAGCAACCGCAAGCTGAAGAGTCTCCATTCCACTTGAAAAGAAAGGTGCCAAGAATGTGACCACACTGAAGTCTAATGAAAACAAAATGTGGAATTCATGGAAACTGTAGCTGATGCACCTATCTACTTACCATTCTGACTGTGGACCAGAGAAACTAGTGGTGGAAGGATACAGTCTTCAACCTAAAACAGAGAATTAGAAAGAGCTGGCTTAGATTATTCACAGGGAAAAAACACAGAACAGAGATACATTATATTATCTACATTTATTCCACTGCTACAGCCCTTAATCAAAGAGATGAATAATCACGGAAATGCATCTATAATTACACTTACAAAGCCACAAAGTTCACTTTTCTCTGGTAAACTGCCATGAAGTTACAGATACTAACGCATTTTTATCTAGAAAACTACAATTACTTTGGTATAATTCATTGAGAGTGAATTTTAATTTAAAATATAGAACTCAGTGCAGATATATTAAGAAAAAAGAGTATTATAATATCTATTAATCCTGATGCTTTAATCCATGAACTAACCATTGAATAGAGTTCAGAAAACATGTCCTAAAACAAACCTGCATCGTACTAAAATACATCAGGAAAGATGCACTACCTCTAATGAAATATCCTTAAGCTTTAATAGAGACTTCATGAAAATTTAACTTCTTCCACTCTGATAATACAGAGTCTTCCATTAAAATTTAAATATACAGACTTAAAATTTAAATATGAAATGAAAAAAACAACCCCAAAACAGTCAACTATTTACTGTCCATGAGTGTGTTGCTACCCTAACCCAATCATCTGTCACAGAACTAGTCAGCTTAGTTCCATCTGAAATCAACTTATGGCAAACCTTGCTACAAGTCAGTTTTATACATCTAATATTATAAAAGTAATGTATTATTAGTATTCTCTATAAAGAGAATTAATTGCTAAGTCTTAAGTCACTGGTAAAATATAACTTATTTAGACAGGACATCCTTTGGTTTTGGGGAGAGAATGGGCGGGCAGCCCTAAAACTTTGAAGTAAGCATCATGGATACACTGCTTCTTGGATTTACTTATACAAATAAAATTACTGTGCAGGTTCTCACTACATCATGGACAGGATTTGGTGTAACAAAACTGTGTTATAATCCTCCATGCATTTTCTTTCAGTGATTAATGCTAGAAGGTGGAATTCCCAGATTGCTGCAGCTGCTATTACGAAACATCTATAGAAGCTGAAAGTATGTACGAAAAGGGGTCATTGAATGAAGTTAGCATTACTTCTTTGCTCGCTGGTGGTCTCTGTTAAATCAATCTCTGACATTAATGGATTCATTTAGTCTTTTCTCTCTTCTGAAAACCCTACCAAAAATTGTCTTTGTTACATACTTTCAATAAAAAAGGTAAAGGACTGCTTGAGGTATAGAAGTAAAACTACTCCTGCAAGTACAAATAGCCTTTACACCTACATAGATAATAACATATATCTTGTTCCTGACAACTGGAAATGAGTAGAAAAAGAGTAGGAAAAACAGACCAAGCATAAAGCACAAATCTAGTTTCTAGTAAAGTAATTCTTGTGTTAAGAAGTTTCCTAATCTGATGCTGAAGCTGTATTTTTGCATTTAATAGTGCTTGCTAGCCTTTTCTCCTATATATTTGTCCAATCCTATCTTAAATGTACTAGTACTTTTAGCATGTGCAATGCCTACAGCACTGAATTCTACAATTCAATTAGGCTGTATGAAAAGACACCTCCTTGTTCAGTTTAAAGCAGCTAACTTGATATCCACTTGATCTTGTTTTATGTAAACCACAAATAATTATTGCCAATTAGTCTTTCCCATGCCATTCGTAATTCTGTACTCTCAAGTCTTCAGTTTCCAAGCTGAAGTTTTTATCCTTCAGTCCCTCCTCACTTCACTGAGCTGCACTTTCTCTTGTAAAGCTTCATTTCCTTTGAGAGTGACCACAACTGCATTCAATATTCAATGCTTGAGGCACCATGGACTTACTAGGGTGTAGTGATGTTCTCTGCTTTGCTGCCTGATCTTTTCCCAGTCATTTCTAATAATCTCATCTTTCTGATTACTGCTGAGTATAAAGCTATCATTTTCATAGAAAAATTATGCTCACAGATCCCCAGAACAGTTAAAATAGTTTACAGCTTGACACTGCATATGCACAGTTGGAATGATTTTCCCCATGTGTGTCACTTGACATTTATCGGTATTGAATTATATGTCATTATATTGTCCTTTCACTCAGTACCTTGAAACCTTCTGCAACTCTTCTGTCAGTTTTAATTTTCACTACTGTGAATAATTTCATGTCATCAGTCAGCTCTGTCACCTACATATTCATTCCCTTTTCTGGATTGGTTATAAATAGTACACGTTGCAACACAGATCTTTGTGAGGCGCAATTCTTAATATACCTACACTTTTTAAACTCCTCTCTATTCTGTACTTCATACATTTTACCCAGTTAGAAGGAGTTGCTCTGTCAGGGGGGAAGAGGAAGAGGCCACTGATGGATTTGAAGACTCTTTGCTGCATGAGTTTGTCAAAAACACTTTGGAAATTCAAGTATACTGTCCAAGAGCAGAACGTCTGTCTCCGTAACATCCACTGATTACTATTGAGGGGCAGTGCCCAGCAAAAGCTGTACTCACTTTTCTACAGTATCATATAACTTACAAAAATCAGATCTTTTGAAAACAAGGCATAATTCTGAGACAAATTCTTACACAAAGCCTGTATGTTACTTTAACCCACAAAAGAGAGACACAAGCCATGGTTTCAGAGTATTCACCAGCTATTAGAAGGGGTTTGAAAGACAACTATACCTTCAGTCCTTCTCTGCTTGTCTCCACTGTTCAGGAGATGTCAGAAACAAAGCCTGCATCTTAAATACGTGCCTGCTTTGTTAGAAAGGAGCAAGCATTGCCTCAGCTTTACTTTACCTCCCCAAGCCGAGTCCAAGCTTCACAAGTGCCCACTAAAAAGCAGTTGTAACACTGCAAGGGCTCAGTGGAAGGATCCAAAACAGCAAATCCCTATCGAGCCAAGGTATCCCCAAAATGGTGATGGAGAACCAAACTTCCATTCACTTGTGCTAGCTGGCACGGATGTATTCAGCTACTCAACATATACATGCAACTATCATGTATTAATGAACTAGCATATAAGCAAAGTAAACCTACTTGTTATCCCCTGCAATTTATGCTATGCCTGTATGGATCGCTTAACAGCCTTCTCAAGGCCACATAACTTATCTTTATACAGCTAACATTCCCAACCTAAAAAAAAATCTCTCCCTTGATTAAAACTGAGTTTTAAGAGCTCTCCCAATCGATGCTTAAGGCCAAAGTCTTCACATTTGGTATCACACTGGGCAGAAAGAAGTAGTAAGCAGGCTTAAAGTCTGCTCCAATATCGGTTGTGAACAACCCTGTTCTCAAGTGAAAATCAGACCCCAGAATTAAACTTACATAAAGAAACTATGCCATCCATTCCATGCAGCTATCATATCCAAAGCCCATTCATTTATTCCAGAGATTTTTCTAGAGATAATCTGGTTCTTCTCAATGACAAATATGTTCTCCTTATCCACTATTCAAAGGAGAACACAACAAAGCAAAGACCAGCAGCTCCCAAACCCTTTTTCCAGTCACATATAAGACCCATAACATCCAACATCACTTTGACATTTATTCTCATTAAAACTCCACAAAGTCATTGCTGGAAGTGACCACGGAATTAAGATCATGCTGCCTTCATATTCCTTAAAGAATCTGCTGGAGGCACAGCATGCTCCTCAATGTTTTAATATTGCCAGTAATCTCTCAGAATGTCATAGAAAAAGAAATAATCTAATACATGTTAGAATGAATTTGGGAGAAGGATGACATTTCTGTAATTTTGGGGGGAGGTCTTCAGAACCTCAGCATCTTCACTGAGATGCTGGGTTTTTTCCCTTCTGGGAAGAGACAGCACTGATCAACTGACTCTATATGTCAATTAGTGCAGAACTGGTTTCACACACAAAGTCTCCTGTCATGTGGATTAGCCTAATGGACAGAGAGCCACACAGGGTGTAGAATTTCAATCTGCTTCAAAAGGGGAAGCAACTGAGGAAATGCTCTACAAGATGTTTATACAGTCATATCCTACACTGACAAAATTAAGGTGTCAGTGGTTAGATCAGAAGAGCCTGTGGATGAAGAACACCACTGACGCTCAACCAAGAAAAGACGAAAATGAGCAGAAAAAAAAGCACTTACAGAAGTTTCTATTCTTCCGTTGCCATCTTTGGTGAAAATAGCTCTTACATTGTCAACCAGTAGATTTCCATGTCATACTGCTTTTCCCTTGACTTCCCATCAAGCAACCCATCATGCTCAGCGTGCTTTTATTTTAGCTGGTTTTAAAAGTAAGTTTTAAAACCTTGAGGAGGACAATCATTGCTGACAGCTTCTGGCTCAACTAGAGAACTTTCAGGCTTTGAGTAAAAGATCATCTATGCAGTGTACAGATCACTTTTGAGAGCTAGTTAGAGTATAGAAAGGACTCCCACAGGAACTGCCTGCCATCATGAACCTCATCACTGTTCAAAGTGCTTTGAATCAGCATAACTCCTTTTTCAGGCAAATAAATATACTTAATAGAGACAAAAATACAGATGATACAGTCAGCACAGAATTCTTCAAGCTAATTATATCTAAATCTTTATCAAAATTTGAAAATAAATATTATTATAACATTTATTATCTTAATTAAATAAGTATTTTTGCATTTTAGGTACATGAAAGAAGTAGGCAGTTGGACTTGGGTGAGTTTAAGAAACCAGGAGTTACATCCCACTCCAATCTACAGACTCTTCCTGGTGGCCCTCATCATCAGATCTGCATACCTGAAAATCCACAGTTTTGCCAAAATTTGCCAAGTCACCCTTACCATTCATCTTTCCTCTGTATCTTGTAAAAATGCACTCAACTGTATGCAGATGAAATTGCTGCTCACTACTGGCTTTCATTTGAGCACTTTCAATTAATTTCCCTTGACGTTATCACAGTCAGCAATACACAATACAGCCAGTCCCCACAGAAATGAATCTCCTCAATAACTGACTTCAAGTTGATGGTAATCAGAAATTTGATCACAAAACATCCATTTATTCAATTTTGTTCAGGACACAAAGGCAACTCAAACATGAACTAAAAACCAGAACAAGAAATTCTTTTCTTCTCAAAGAAGAAACTAACCTGAAACATTGCTCTTGGATTCTTATTAACTTACACAATTTCCATTGCAGCTAAAGCCAAAACCAGAGCCAAACTAAAAAACTCACCAGTTCTGCTTGCTCTATATAACCTCACAGAATCATAGAATCCCGGACTGGTTTGTGTTGGAAAGGACCTTAAGATCATCCAGTTCCAACCCCCTGCCACGGGCAGCGACACCTCCACTAGAGCAAGTTGCTCCAAGCCCCTGTGTCCAGCCTGGCTTTGAACACTGCCAGGGATGGGGCAGCCACAGCTTCTCTGGGCACCCTGTGCCAGCGCCTCAGCACCCTCACAGGGAAGAGCTTCTGCCTTAGATCTAACCTGAACTTCCCCTGTTTCAGTTCGAACCCATCACCCCTTGTCCTATCACTACAGTCCCCGATGAAGAGTAACTTTTTTATTAATTTCATTACATTCTATTAGAAATGCATTTAATTCCTGATTGGAGACTTTAAAGCAATGTCACAGTTGCAGTGAAAAAGAAAGTGCATCCTCTCGAGAGGATGGCTTGGGCCTTCCCCTCACCCCCTCCATAAAGTGCTGTTTATAACCAACTTTGTCTAAATGAGCAATCCAGGCTTTAGAGATCAGCCCAGGATACACACTTCTCTCCAATAAGAGAATTTCCTATTAACCACTGTTACACTTAAATATCGATCTGGAAGCTCAAACATGTCTTGCTTCCACTTTTCAAGAAAGCACCAAGATTCTCTGGGCGCTGACATTTCTATTCATAGATTCCAGTCATGCCCAGCAAGCAGCAATTAGAAGATCTCCCTTGAGTAACTGCAATTCTAAAAATGGTCTGTATGCATCATAGAAGATGAAGTACCACTTTCCTCTTAAGTAATGTATGCTGTGCATTCGAGTATAATTAGCACACTAGACTTCATAAATAGTATTAAACTAATTACTGTTTGCACCACTAGTGGCAGATGTGCTTAGAGGTTATTAATTACAGTGGACAATTTCCCTAATTTTACATACCAAATACAGACAATTTCTCCACTTTGTGTCTGAGTGGCTTGTGCTGAGTGTCAGGAGGGCTCTTTTACATTAGGAAGAACTGTTATTTATGAAAATAAGGCAAGTAATAGATTTTGTCAAAAAATATAACTTATTCATTGACAAAGTAATTAATAATTACTTCTATTTAATACATTTCTCTATATTCCTATTCTGAATCAGGGAAACTATTCTACAAAAGTGGTACGTGTCCTATATTTATAAGCATTGGACAGGCAGGAAGTTTTATCTCTGGCTACCTAAGGTTAACTGATTTGCTCAGATGGATTTTAAACAAACATCTAAACTTCTCAATGTATGTGATGAAGTAAACTGTTCCTCAGAAATGTAGGTACTTAAATAGAAGTCACCTACTGCTACTTAAAAGACAGTGGGACAATCATTCCCTGGCTTCAATATAATGTTCTGCTGAATGTGGGGATGGGAGCAGGGGAAGAAGAGTTGTGAAAGGGAGATGTCTCCTTGCAGTTATTTTTCCTGGGAGAACCCATCAGACCATTAAATAGCTATGGGAGTTTTATTTAATGTGCTGAAACAAGGTATTGCAATCTCAGCAAATGCTGATGGGCCTCCATAAAACATGGTACAATTTCTGTCAGTATAAGACACACTGATAACCCACAGAAGTAAAACAATTACTTTTAGAAATGTACAATCATAATACAGTGTTTTGCGGGCTGACAGGCATTGTAGGGAGGTATCAATAGGCATTTATACCTCACCTACATTTGCATTTCTTTTCTAGAACATCATTTGCCATATAACTTTAAAGTGAATTGAACTGTCAGTTCTGTACTATCTCCCCTCTGGCTATTAACTGGTAACATTTTTGTGCATGAAGACCAGTTTCTTGTATACCGCTCTTGTGTGAGCATAAATGAAAAGAAACATTAAGCTTATTTAAATACCAGTTTATATTTTCACTTATTAAGAGCTCAAATACTCAACTAACATATACAAAACAGGATCCAACTCCTAAAAAACCTTAATTTCTAAGATTACCCACAACCCCTAAAATCACACTTTCCTATGTATTACAGTTTGCTAATGCCTTTCTTGATTTAAGAGATTTGAGTATTCCCTTAACCTAATTCCAATACAAACACATAAATTTCAGGTTTAATTAAACGTTCACCCCAGTAACTATGGTGGGTTAACCTTCTGGTGGGAATTCTGTTGCAAAACCACATTAATACAGGTTACAAGTTGTCCAACACTGATGCAAACGCTCTGACCTCCTGATTTGCTGACAACTGTTTCACAACGTAATTGTTCTGCCTTCAGCTCACAGTAAAATCATTTAACCAAAAGCTTCACAGAAAACAAATGTTAGTGATGTAAGAAGCTTACAGTATGTGGGATTGTATGTAATGCAAGTTTTAGCAAGCAATCTGTTATACAAGCAACAAAACACCATTAAGTGTTACTGATGATCTCATCAGGAGGGGTATTGATGGAAAAGGATGATCAACCCTCAGAGGTGATCTTTCCAAGCTATGAGGCTGAAGAAAAGCTTCCAGAACCATGTGTTGTAAATCTGCATGGAAATCATTTTAAGACCTGCTATTTCTAAACTTCAAGCCCTTTTTATTCTCCCTCTAACTTATCAATTAAATACAGTAAACTGAGTCAGAATCATAGAATAGTTAGGGTTGGAAAGGACCTTAAGATCATCCAGTTCCAACCCCCCTGCCATGGGCAGGGACACCTCACACCAAACCATGTCACCCAAGGCCTCTTCCAACCTGGCCTTGAACACTGCCAGGGACGGAGCATTCACAACCTCCCTGGGCAACCCATTCCAGTGCCTCACCTCCCTAACAGTAAAAAACTTCTTCCTTATATCCAATCTAAACTTCCCCTGTTTCAGTTTTAACCCATCATCCCTTGTCCTGTCACTACAGTCCCTAATGAAGAGTCCCTCCCCAGCATCCCTGCTTTGAAAATTAAACCTCTCTATAAAGAATAACAGATTTTACTGTCAAATAGACCCACACTACATTTTAAGCCATATTACACAGTTTCTGTATTTTCAATACATTCTGTTTATCCATGGAATTAGGCCTATTACCCTGCAAATCCTTATTTGTTGCCAGACTTACAGTCAAGCGATGGGCTGTCAACAAGACAGGATGCTGCGTTACTGCTTCCAAGGTGGATAAAGTAGTTTTAATGAATTCTTCTGATGCAGCTTGTCCTATTGGTAAAAAAAAATCATTGTACTTCTTTATAAAATGCAACAGTTAGAATGTCTGCATGTAAAAGTACTGCAGTATCATCAGTTGCCTTACCTATTGCTCCATCCAAGTTTGTTTCTCCTGAATCTATCGATCTGATCAAATTCTACAGAAGAAGCAGCATTTATGTTAAAACACTTTAGAAACCAAAATAATCACTGAATAATTACAACATTTAGTTCTTTACGGAACTAACATAAGGAAACACTATCATAATAAGGAAACATAAGGAAACACTATCATAATAATTAAGACCTGAAGGAAACACTATCATAATAAGGAAACACTATCATAATAATTAAGACCTGAAAGACTAAGAGAATCAATGATCTAGCCTCTGTAATGTGATTTTGCAAGTCTCTAATGCTGCTGGACACTTAAATGTAGACTACAGTAAGAACTATTACTCATGGTAACATTTCCAGCTAAAGAAACAGCAATTAAATGTCTGTCATTAACAGAAAACTGTAATTTGTTTGATGACTATGAACTACCTTGGACATGGCTATGTTAAAATAACTCACAAAGACCAAAGACCCTTCAGAAAATGCAATTTTCTGTTATTTATACCATCTTTTTGATCTCTGTGCATACTACACACACTATGGCTACAATTACACGCCAGAGAAGATACAAAAATGCATTTTGAGGAACAGGGATAAATATTCATAATTTGGGTTAAATAAATAGACCTTGTATTCTTTTGCCTTTTAATCCTGATTTCTGCCTTTTCCTTTCATTTCTATGCACAGCTGTTTATGTCACAGGGATGCAAAAGACATTAACATTTGCTAAGGAAGGAAAAGGATCTCAGTGTAATCGACAGTATGCTCTTTTTTACCAATGAAGTATTTAATACACAGCAAATTTACCATGGACAAACATTTTTCTCATTTTCAATTTGCACCACATATCTATTTATTTGTATGATGTAAAGCATTAAGAAAATTATGCTTGTCTTATATTTCCCTATCAATTCAACTTTTGTTGTTATATAGGAAGTTTGCAGATGTGTCTAGGTGGGTTATCTTTTTCTCAGTATGTAAGAAACACCTGAAAGACTCTTCTCTAATTAAAAATACAGTTAGAAACTAATTCTATATTTCATAATTGAAATACATCTCAGAGGCAGTCATAAAAGCCAACTGCTTCTATAAAAATAAATGTCATGTTACCTTCCTGACCATTTGAAGGAAAACACTTGTTATTACCTAAGTAACTTGTTTTGGAAGAGAGTGAATTATTTTGCTGATTTAAGACAACTTCACACTTAACCATAGTCTCAAGACCAATTTGGAAAGATCAATATAGTTGGTGCAAAAAATGTTCTGGCTACTAATGCTTATTTCCTTAATTCTGTATGAGAGACACAAGAAGATGTATTGATACAAAACAACAGCTAGCTGGGTGTTTTTAAGCAACGGAGCGGAATGGTATGTGTATTCTGCTACAGGTGAGCCTGTGCCCTATGCACTTCACTAGGAGCCTACTATTAGCTGTGCCTCTGGGGCACCTAACTATACCTCTGTGTAGTTCTATTGCAAGCTGAAAACATGAAAGCACTATCCTGAGTCCCTCTCAATTTCTTTGCACAACACAACTGAAAATTACAGATGATGGAAATAACTTCAAAGCAGCAAGGAAAAAAAAGCACAACAATCTCAATGAACAACAGCTACAGGAAAATTTCTCTTTTCCTTCCAGATCCTAATCCCCTAATAATTTCTTATTGTCAAGAGCAAGATTTTTGAATAAATCAGAAAAGGACGAAAGAAAGGAAGACTGACTTGCTAAAGTCTTAGAGGTCTCAATTGTAGCACGCTACCCTGAAAAAGTACAAACTCATGATCAAATGTCCCTTTCTAGATATCAGTGGGAATGTTGTTAAACACAGTATTTCAGAGCATACAGTTGCCTGACAGAATGGATAGTTAGTCTTCCAGAATTAATTCTATTAGTCATGTCATAACACAGTTATAGAAAATGGATTCAAATTTGATATTAATTTTTCAGATATATTACTTTTCATGCAGATATATTCCCTTTTTCACACATAAATTGAAATAGCGTATGTAAGCTCCTGAACTGTCTTGTTCAATGGACACAGAAGGCTGGATCAATGGCTGTGGCCAATGGGATGAGGTTCAACAACGCAAAGTGCTGCACTTGGTCTGGCACTTGGGCACAACCACCCCATGCAATGCTCCAAGCTTGGGCTGAAAACTGCTCATGGGAAAGGCCCTGGGGGTGCTGACTGATGGAGCTGAACATGAGCAGCTTGTGCCCAGGCAGCCAAGAAACCCCCAGCATCCTGGCCTGGATCAGCACCAGTGCGGCAGCAGGGCCAGGGCAGGGATTGTGTCCCTGTGCTGGGCACTGGTGAGGCTGCACCTCAAATCCTGTGTTCAGTTCTGGGCCCCTCACTGCAAGAGAGACATTGAGGGGCTGGAGGAGGGCCAGAGAAGGGCAATGGAGCTGGTGCAGGGCCTGGAGCACAAGTGTGATGGGGAACGGCTGAGGGACCTGGGGGGTTCAGTCTGGAGAAGAGAAGGCTCAGGGGGGACCTGATGGCTCCCTACAAGTGCCTGACAGGAGGTTGGAGTGAGGTGGGGTCGGTCTCTGCTCCCAAGGAACAAGGGACAGGACAAGAGGAAACGGCCTCAAGCTGCACCAGGGCAGGTTTAGATGGAGCTGAGGAACAATTCCTTCCCCAGAGGGTGCTCAGGCATTGGAACAGGCTGCCCAGGGCAGGGCTGCAGTCACTGTCCCTGCAAGTGTTCACACTGGGTGGAGACGAGGCCTCAGTGCCATGGGTTAGTGGTGGCCTTGGAGTGCTGGGAACGGTTCGACTGGATGAGCCTGAAGGGCTTTTCCAACCTGGTTGCTTCTGTGGTTCTATGATTCTAAGATGGAGGAAATATTCATTAAAGCAATCTTCTCCTCCCTGATCTGTAACAAAAGCTGTTCTAGTATAAATAGCCTGAATTCCTCAGTCAGTAGTTCATGCAAACTGGAGTAACAAACATCAAAATAAAACTTACATGGTACCTGCTCTGCTGTACCTATATTGGTGACAAAGAATTTCACTTGCTAGAAGGTTGATCGGAAACCATTCATAAATCTACAGCATAGTTACATATGCTTCAAGGAGGGGAAGGGCTTTGCAATCCAACATTGGCAGCTGAAAAACGTTTTTACTCATCCTAATGCTAACTTCTATGCGAATATTTTAGTAGATCCAAATTAAACCCGTATTTTCTTGGAATCAAGAGGCAAAGGAGAAAGATAAGTGAATGTGAACAGTAAACTTTAAGCTAGCTGCTTGTGGTGAAGCATTTCTTCATGCTGTTGTGGAAGTAAATACACATTTGGCACTTAGGAATCCATATACTTAAAAGTATTAGCTTAACCCTGATATACAATTTTAGAATTTGCTTTTTTTCCTCATTCAGCAGAAACAACTGTTTTCCCATGAGGAAACTGCATTACAATAGTAATACTGCATTTTTGCTATCCCATGGCACAGTTAATTTTCTATTGCTAATGTCATAAATAGGTTGTAGACAATAGCATGAGACAAACAGCTCTGTGGCTTACACTACTCAGCTTCTCATCAACTAAATACAGTGTAAAAGTATAATGAGGAAAAAAGTGACAAAAGGAAAGAATTTCTAAAAATATAGATTAGATTATAATTTATCTTCCATTTCTACTCACAAAAATTAGCATAAAGTTCTACAAAAAATAGTCTGTGTCATTCAGAACTAAACTTTTCTATTCTGAAATAATGCACACAGGAAATTCTGTTTGTTAGACATGTGCAGAGTTTTTCTATACTTGAACACCAGACAGAGCATTTTCCCTTTGACCAAATAGATCACTACTGAAAATCTTTTCTAATACACAGTTTTTAATATAATCAAAGCTTAAATTTTATATTCAGAATCAAGTTTTCTCTCAAATTCATAAATTTAATGGAACTTTATTACATTAAGATTTAATGTAATTTAGTTACATTAAAATAGTTCCCCCAACGTTATGTGTATGTGTATTTTGTACACAAGATTTAACTTAGACAGCTATACTCACAAGTAAGGTCCCATAGTCGAAAAGAAACTCCTCTGTGACTATCTGGTGACGAAATATCTGTTTGGATTTAGCAAAAGTTGAAAAAAAAAAAACCAACACAATGCATTAAATGTGCATCTTATGACCAGAATAAGTAAAACCTCTATTTCACAGTCATGATAAAAATAAGAGGTCAAAATACGTATTTGCTTCTATCATTGGAGCTGTCTTGTAATGTGCTAAAACAAGGCTTACATCTTCAATGCTGTGGTACAGCTGGAATACTCAAAATATCCAAAAATGAATAAAAGCTCTATTTTATCCATTCTGATCATGACCAGCAGAAATCAGGTTTTGGGAAACTGCAAGAATTTGTCCTGTGTTTAACCATTTTTGGAAGAAAGATCTACCTGGGATGTCACAAGATGCAGCACTACAGGCATCATAGGAAGGCACATCTTCAGCTGTTTGGCCTGAACTGTTGATGGGTGTTTCCGTCCAGAGACATTCGTTAAGGCACTGAGAATGTCACCTACAGAAAATAACATTTGAGACTGATCTGATGCAATTGCTTTACTAAACAATAGCAAATGACATATAAAACAGCTCTATTCCAGTATCCTCTGTTCAGTCCGGTCCCCTTCCTCTTCCTGAAGGTAATGCTCATGTGACTGCGTGATAAACCAGGCTGATCCAGCACTTTTTCCCAGCTCAGTGCTCACTCAGCCAGGCCAATTTCCTGCTCTGGCTACAGAGGCAGGCGCACAAATGTGACCTCTGGGAAAAGGTGAGGATAGAAACATCAGGCAGGTGCAGAAGCAAAGATGAAAACCCCTCTTGGCAGGGTGAACATACACTGGCTTTAGGTGGCTACATATACATGGAATCATATTCTTGAAATTCTATGAATGCAATTCTATTTCCAGTGAAATGAAAAGCAAATTTCTCATGACATTCCAGCTGAGCAAGAGCTGAGTTCATCATGATTAGTGGGTGACATCATGCTCAAGCAGTATGTTTTTTCCTGCAGCATAGTACCACTGGAAGAAAGACACAAGCATCCCCCCCCCCCATAAAAGATCCCTCCACCAGCCACGCACACGTACATTGTCATAGAATCATAAAATGGCTTGGGTTAGAAAGGACCTTAAGATCATCCAGTTCCATGGGCAGGAACACCTCACACTAGACCAGGTTGCTCCAAGCCCCATCCAATCTGGCCTTGAACACTGCCAGGGATGGAGCATTTGCAACTTGCTTAGGCATTCTCATACACAGGATTAACTATAATGCAAGTGACCTAAAGCAACCTAAATTCTCATCTTCTCATAAAAGAGATAGCAGCAGGTTAATAAGAGAACTTATTTGCCCCCATAGCAAACCTCCAACAAAATAATGAGGGAACACAATTTTAACTGCAATAGGGAAAATTACACTTCAAACTTCAGAAGAAACGTACAAAAAATCAAGGAACATTACGCTGAGTTTGTATTACATTGTCCCAGTAAAAGCAAGACTATGCATGGGATAAAGAACAGAAGCAGCTAGAGAAAACTCACAGTTCACATGCAAAGAAGGAAATTCTGTCCCTATAGCCTGAAAATATTAAAAGCTAAATCCTGTCTTGAGGACACTTACTGTATTTTTACCCTAATGAGAGCTGCACAAAACTGTAAAAAGGAAGTCACAGAGACATTATACAAATAAAGAATATGATTCAATATTTTATATTATTTTTATGCCAGAAAAGGCCCTTCCTTTCAGAGTAAGTCACACTTTATTCATGTTGAATAATACTAATGCTTTTTTTCTGTTCCCATGGAGTTCAGTTTTCAGCATAAGCAGGAATGGCAGATCCTGGCACTAAAATAGATTGTAAAAATATCTAGCCTGGAAGATTTGATTTGTTCTATAATATGCTGCTGAAGAAAAAAAGAAAGCATTGCCTAAAACTTTCCAAATACATAAACCAAAAGATGGATTTTTCATCAACACGTTTGTGTTTGAATTACTCATAAGAGTGTAATTCAACAAGACCTCTCTGCGACTAGCAACAAAGAATTTGCTGAACAATCTCCCTACGTTTCAAGTCCTATATAACCATCACATTTGCCAATTTTGCAGTTGATAGATACGGTTACTTTCATTTTCAGTATGATTTAAGCAAATTATACTTACTTCCTAGAAGAGATTAAATAATATAAAAGCAGAAATACAATTACTTTCTTCCCTACAAGTGAACACTTTAAAAATTATCCACACAATTAATAATTTATTTCATGTGTTTCAGTGTATCTTTAGGGCTCATTTCTACAATTTGTGAATCTGTTTGGGTTATAGCTACATCTGGTGGAAGAAGATGGGATCAGTAAGGAGCTTATATAATTGCATATCAAACAAACAGCTAGGATTAATTCTAAACCAACAGTTAAACTGCTTTAAGTGTTCCAGTTTGCAGATCTGGTTTTTTAATTAGGAGCTTTTACCCCCTCAAGCAAAACATGTTCCTTTATCATACTCAGAACAATAAAATGCCTTCTGACAAATGTGCACAAATATGGACAGATAATCTTAATAAAAGCAGTAAATACACAATCTAGCTTGGAAAGGAAAACAAAGTGTAAAGATTATGCTTGGTATAGCAGGTGTCAACAGTGCATTGAAACTGTGCATCAGGAGTAAAAATCCCAACAGAATACAAATTAAAGCAATTGATGTATTGGGTATTATAACGGTAGATATTTGATGGTCAGTACTTCCAGGTTCTGAGGAAGTATCAGGATCTACTCTATCAACTGCATATAGTACATACAAAGAGCAGGAGGTGAATTTCTGCCTCGAACGTTTATAGTGTGAGACTTTCAAATCACAAAATATAACCAATATGCAAACCCTGGGTAGAAAAAAGGGATCAGGTGTTTGCAGGAAGGCAAAAATTTGCATTGATATAGGAAGTAAAGTTGCTTTTAAAATAGCAGCATGACATTTAGGTCTACTGACCTTTGCAGTGCTACCAGTTCCTTTTCAGTATTCTAGTGATAATGTAGAGAAGATGAAAAATAAAACAGGTATCATCTCATCAGAAAATAATTTCATGAAGAAAATGTTTTATCATTCAATGACAAAGCACATACAATCAGAGGTGGGTTTGCTCCATTTCTTTTCCTGAATACTCCCAGCATTTCCTTCCTTGTCTCTTATTTAGCCTTCTTACTCTATTCTATGGCACACACCCCCCCCTCAAAGTTTTAATTAGAATTTTAATGATGATTCAGACTGGCCACACTGATTTCTCCTTCATTCTTTCTGGTCTCTTCCTTTCCTTGCCTCCAGCCCTCCACCCTTCCCTCCACTGACTTCCTTCCCTTCTTCCCCACCACATTACTTCCCTTTCTTCCAATCCTCCTCTCTCCCCTTCTCTCATTTCCCCTTCTCCTTCTTCCCTTTCCTCCCTAACTTACTTCCTTCCATCTTTCATTTCTTCTTTCATTCACTCCTAATCATTTTTTTTCCAAACAACGCCCTCATTTTTCCTCATAAACTGTATAGCACAGCTTTTTCCAGGAAAGACAATCCCACCATTCTTCCTCATCTAGGATAATTCCTGTGACATTTCTTTCATTCACTATCAACCCTATATTCAAATCTCAACAATAGATTCTCCTTCTTTTTGTCAAGAATTTATCTATTTCTTCTGTACAGATGGCCACAATTCTCATCCTATTTCATCATCATCTCTTGACTGACTCCCCAGACTCTTGAACCTATTTCTTTCTACTTCAGTTTCTTCCCTGGTTGTCCAGCGAGTCCAAATTATGCCCTTCAATTTGCAAGTTTTCTCCCTTTTCCACGTGTGTCTTTCACTGCTCCTTCTGAAAGTCCCCTCCTCCCCTTGTCCCACTAGGAGCATATTCAGTGATGACAGGACTTCAGCTGCTACACCCAAGCAAATTTCTGCTGGAAAATACAGGATAAGGGGTAACGGATTCAAACTTGAACAGGGGAAGTTTAGATTGGATATAGGGAAGAAATTCTTTACTGTAAAGGTGATGAGGCACTGGAATGGGTTGCCCAGGGAAGTTGTGAATGCCCCATCCCTGGCGGTGCTCAAGGCCAGGTTGGACAGAGCCTTGGCTGACATGGTTTAGCGTGAGGTGTCCCTGCCCATGACAGGGGGTTGGAACTGGATGATTTTAAGGTCCTTTCCAACCCTAATGATTCTATGATTCCTGACTGAGCTGACAGGGCTTACCATTCACCAAATGCAAAACATTAATGGGAAGTGTAGGTTGGATGTAAGAAGATGCTCTTTACTGTGAGGGTGCTGAGGCGCTGGCACAGGGTGCCCAGAGAAGCTGTGGCTGCCCCATCCCTGGCAGTGTTCAAGGCCTGGGTGGACACAGCCTTTGGTGACATGGTCTAGTGTGAGGCACACTGCCCATGGCAGGGGGTTGGAACTGTATGATCTTAAGGTCCTTTCCAACCCAAACCCTTCTGTGATTCTATGATTAATATAGAAAATCACGCATTCCAGTCCAAATTACCCGATCATGACATAACTAAAAAATTCATGAAGTTGGTAACATGGAAACTTCACATAATCAGATTAATACAGTCTTTCCACCTGCATATGGTAAGAGGTATTTGTTTCTTGAGGGAGTAATCAAAGGCAAGATTTGTTCAGTTAACCAAGTGAATTTACCTAGAATTCCTGGCAGCTCCTGCACAATGTGACATATGAGAAGATCCAGGCATTTTGACAGGTATTCACTGCTGCCTTGCTGCTCTTTTCCTGGTGTGGTCTTTCTGCTGTCTCTTTCAATATACATCACGAGTCTATATTTAAGCAAGTACAAAACATTACCTCTCATTATAAAATATATGGCACTTTACCTCCAAAATACTTCTGACCCAGACATGTACAATATCTGCAGTTACAAACAGACAATGCATTTGGTTTGGCTCTGTAGTTTTCTTGAAATTTTAGACTTGTTTTCAAATAAATTAATTTTAAGAATAACAACAAATGATTGAGTCAATGAACAAGAGGAAGGAAACTCTTAAGCTACTATAGGTGCATCGCTATTAGTTTAGATGAATATATGATGCTAACGTAAGGAGCAAATCTCTCTGCAGACTTAGAAAGAGACTAGGCAAAGATGTGTAATATAAGCAAAAGACTAAAGGCATTCATTCTCAACATGTAAAACTTCCAGAAGCAAAAGTAATTTACGTCAAAGTAACAAGAGATCCAGCTTTCAGCCAAAAAAAGTCATACATACATAAATAATACTCCAGGCTATCAAAATGTTAGCACTAGTTGGAATGGCCATATTGAAAGAGACAGAAGTCCAAACCAACTTTATATCCTTTATCTAGATATCTGGCATTTTTAAAGACAAACTCAGTGCTTATATTCTAACTGCTAAGCGCTAGACAGCTGTGCCATCCCGCAGAACTATGCTAACTGATTTATTAGCCATTGGCTAACTTACAAGAGCTTGCTTTAATAATACACCTGTAACAGAATGCTCCAGGCAATATTTTAAAACACTCATTTGAATAGACAGAAGGGCCACACTTCCCTTTAGGGGAATAATATTGACATCTTTGTTTCACATTTGAACTCCCTGGAGGGCCTATGCAAAGAATCAGTACTGGTGAGTGAAATCCATGCTCTGGATTTTAAGGATGTACTTCAGTATTATATATTTTTTTTTAAACACCCTTCTTATAATGAATGCTGTTTTATAGAGGTGTGAAAACAACTTATTTAAGCTGCCTCAAGCATACATAACAAAACTGCAGGACTCACAAACAAAAAATGTTACCCTACGAAAGTTGTATTTCCATCAAAAAGCCAGTTTACCTCACGAAATAAAAACTACCCAAGAATGCATTTTTTGCAGGATTAGGTCTGCATGACTGTTATGGAATACTATAACTCACCTTATCCTTCCAGAACTATGCTGCAAAGATAGAGATATATCAAAAGATTCCCTTTCACTTCTGGAATAGCCCTGACACAACCCATTCAGCTGCACCTCCCAGAGACTATGGAGACATCTTTTTCTTGCAGTCTCTGGAAATTGCATTAAATTACAAGGAATTTTGGTCTGCCTGGTAGAACTCCTTAAAAATGTTTTAAGTGTCTTTAATATAGAAAAGTTGGATGTTTTAAATTTAAGTGGTCTAAATCCCTCTAGCATTTCCAGACAACCAAGTAGTTTTTACTTAGAAACTCTTTAACTTTAAACAAAAACTTGACAAAAGAGTTTTTTTATGTTTGGAGCTTTTTCTTCCAGAAAACACTTCCATCATTTAGTAATCATCCAAATCTATATGGAAATATGTTTAGATATGTTTATGTTTTACTTAAAATAGGCTGGATAGAGTTCAACATGAATGGTTCTATTGCTGAGAGGGGCTCATTTTTTCAAAGCATGTTTTAGTCAATCCCATTTGAGAAGCATATAAAATAAGTTCATTTATTCTAAGAAAGATACAAAGTTTATGTAACCTCATCAATTCTCACTTTTTGCCTTACCCAAAGCAAAATCTGCTCCTTCTAATGCTTACTGGGACCAGAAGTTACTTTAAGAGACTCTCCCAATAAGATAGTGTTTTCCCCTTGTGAATAATCATCACCTGATGACCCCAGACAAAAGAGAACACTCTTTTCTTGATAATCTCATGAATAAAAGGCTTCATATTACACAGAAAAGTTCACTTCTAAAACACAGGCTCAAAAATACCACCCATTTTAAAGTATTTCAGGTATGACTCTGAAAATACGCATCACATCTCTAATCATCTTCCATTACTACTTTACCTTGCTTGACAAGTGAGTAGCAATGTCTCTCTGTTATTAACTAGAACTTGTAGCAGGACCAGAAAGGCTTTTGCTCGAATAAAGGTTGAAGGACTTTCAAGCAAACGAGTAATTGTAGTCACAAAATCCTTGGTGGAAAGAAACACAAGGACGTTAACATGATTTTATGGCAAAAGGTTACTTGCGCTGTATTTTAACATTATATACATGTAAAGTTTGCTCATTTTCGTGTGTTTTGTATGAGTAATTTAATTTTCATGTCACTCATAGGAAAAAATAAATCCATAAGCCAATACTAAATATGTTCTGCTCAAGACCCAGTGCAAAGGTGCTTTGTACATCTCTCTGAAGCTGCAACATGCAAACACTGCATAATGCACTTGGTCTAAAATGGCACAAAATAAAACTACAAAATGTGACAGTTTAAAATGCCTTACCTTAAGGATAAATGTAGGCTATTTTAATATATTTTTAAGAGAAAACTGAATGATTTTCAACATACATAAATGTTTCAGCACAAATATGATTAAATATTTACCTGCTAACTCCTATACATACAGGAAGATTAAAAACAACTTTCTTGGATACAACTATGTCTACAACATAACCTAAATTGTGCAACAGATGCTCCAAATAGGTGGAAAAACTGTTTCAACCTTCTCTGATTGTTCCTATCTTAATAAATTTTGCATTCCTTAAGTGGAGAACATCTTTGCAAGGAACCACCTGAATTAGAGCTTGGGAAGAAAGAAAAAGCATAAAATGCAAGCAGTAAGGCCATGACTTTCCTAATCCACTGACTACATTCTTTTCCTAGCATAAAATCAGTTCATAAGAAGCTATGATCCTTGCTAACTCCTTCCTCCTGTAAATCCAAATGAAAGAGTAACTTTAAAAGTTAAACTAAGGTAGTGATAAATGAAGAATAACCAAGAAATGTTTCCCTTCAGAAGCTTAAGAGCGGATAGCTGACTGGATTCTGAAATCACAGCTTGCTGCTTTTATTCTCTAGCTCCCCCTATTTTGCCCTACAAATTGAAATTTACAATTTCAATTGTAAATTGACTTTCTTCTGTAGTTTCTGGAATGTGGCCTGACACATGGAAAGATGCGAGATTCATGTGTAGTGCCTCAGCTTCCAAGGGAATAAAGCTGAGCATCAGGGGAAGGAAAAAAGAGGTCTTACATTATCAATAACAGATATGAGTTATAGAAAGCATAAGATTATATCCATTTATGATCTGTCCAATGACACGTTGACATACCTTCAGGAGTTGTAACTGCTGTAAATGTGAAAGGTAAATGAAAAAGGGAACAAAGGGGGGAAAAAGAGAGGGAACGCGGGAGGAAAAACAGGAAAGGAGAAAAAAAAAGGGAAAGGGAACAATCCCATGAACAAACCATATGGGGATGGGGTTTGTTCCTATGAGGAATAAAAATATCTGCTACTCATCTGTACTACTCTTCTATGTAGAACAATTGGGTTGTTTTGTAATAAACAATACAGAACACTTGATATAATTTATTAGAAACAGCCTTTGCAACAATTAACTATACCTCTTACAGAGGCTGGAAAAAGAACAGGAGTGTTAAGAGCTGGCCAACAAACCATCAGCTCTTACTCTGATACGTACTTAACACTGCCTTCAAAAGCCGTCAGCATAGACAGCCACTACATAAATCTCTGAAAAACAAACTTGTTAATTATTGTAGAACTGTCTTGTATCTCTGTAATTTATTTCATGAACAGAAGAGATCCTCAATCTTGTGGTTAATAAGCATAATTTGTGGAAACAGACTGCTTTAAACACTTCAACAGCTCATGAAGCACGGCTTGTAGCTCCTCCAGTACAAACCTGCAGTGCTGACGTTCTTAAATTACTATCTACTGAAAAGCAAAGGCAGGAGTCTTAATAAAGTGGGTTTAAGGAGGGAGGAAGGAGTGATTCTTCATTTGTGGTTTGGTTTGCTGGTTTTGGTTTCTGTTTGGGTTTTTTGCTTGTTTGCTGTGTTTTTTTAACAAAATTACTGAACCCAAAGAAATTTTTATGTTAAAAAAAAACAACATAAAGACTTACTGAAAAAGTATATATAACGCAATGCTTCCTACTAATATAAATAGACTTGACAGACTAAGTACAGGGACACCATTACAAAGACACAAAGGAGGCCACAAGGATGCTCAGGGGCTGGAGTACCTCTCATATGGAGACAGGCTGAGAATATTGGGGTTGTTCAGCCTGGAGAAGGGAAGCTGCGTGGAGACCTCAGAGCAGCTTCCAGTGTCTGAAGGGGGCTACAAGGATACTGGAGAGGGACTCTTCATCAGGGACTGTAGTGATAGGACAAGGGGTGATGGGTTCAAACTGAAACAGGGGAAGTTCAGGTTAGATCTAAGGCAGAAGCTCTTCCCTGTGAGGGTGCTGAGGCGCTGCCACAGGGTGCCCAGAGAAGCTGTGGCTGCCCCATTTGTGGCAGTGCTCAAGGTCAGGTTGAACAGAGCCCAGGGTGACACAGCCTAGTGTGAGGTGCCTCTGCCCATGGCAGGGCATTGGAACTGGATGATCTAAAGTCCCTTCCCAACCCAAATCATTCTGTGATTCTACGATTCTAGCTTCAAACCAAAGCACATCTATATTCAGCCCTCATGCTCTGGAAAGCAAGAATATTCTTCTATTTAATGCCATAATTGGATATGACCAAGATAAAAAGAGACTATTGGCAGGGAAGTGAAGAAACAACCCAGTTGTGACAATGGATTGCTGCAACTACCTGAGTAATTTTACTTCTTAGTATTTGAAAAAAAACCCAAAGAAACAAAGCTCACCCCACCCTATTATCTGACCTCTGACAGAACCTAAGTGCATTTGAAAAGATGAATGAGTGGTTTTCACTCACTCAAAGGTGAACTCTTGGCAGCCAAACAAAAGTAATTATCAGTGGTTTGGGGTTTTCCTTATCTACTGCTGTAGTGTGGCAAAGATTTTGGATTTTGAGTTCTTTTTCTACACTTCATATTTAAAATGTCATTTCAGCTTTATTTGTTTTCAAGACAAGAAAATAAACCAGAAAGGACTGGTATCAGAGAGGTACAAAACCCAGCCCCTTTTAGCTACTGCAGTTCTCTGAATATTTATACCAGCACAAATGACCACAGAACTGCATTTCTCTTTCGCTTTTGGCTTTTATTTTGTATCTGGTTTCATCACTGTTCTTGAAGGGAGTAGAAAACAAGGGCAGCCTGAAGTCTTGTAAGCTAAGGGAGTTTCCAGATAACATATAGAAAGTTAAATGATCTCCACCTTGAATTTATGTCCTTAAGCATCTTTTAATATATTGGTTTGCAGCCATACAAAAAAGCTAATCACAACCTTGTCACTACCTCCTGCATAATGCTGAGATCCTTCTGCATCTTACAGTATACAAAAATCATACAGGAGGCAAAATGATGTGTAGGCCAACACTAGCCACTTGTTTTTGCTTTTCCCTTCTCTCATTAAGGTAGACTTGTGCGTCATGCTCATGGACTATTAAAAGTTGCATGGATTATTAAATTCAGATTTCAGCAAGAAAACATTATTCCCTGCAATGTGATAGGACCTGGCAGTCCTATCCAGGAGCAGGATTATACTTCTAGATCTTATTCAAGAAAACCAGAAATCTATTTTCTGCCTCCAAAATCCTAAACTATAATTTAAGCAAAATAGATATCTCGCTCAACTAAAACTCTCTCTCTCAACTGAATCCTAAAAGACTGTTACAGATAAGATCTAGTTGGCGACTGGTCACAAGTGGTGCCCCTCAGAGCTTGGTATTAGGGCCAGTTTAATACCTTCATTGATGATCTTGGATGAGGAGACTGAGTGCAGCCTCAGTAAACATTTAGTCTGGAGAGGAGAAGGCTCATAAGGGGGGGATAAGACGCACCTTATCACTCCCTACAAGTGCCTTACAGGAGGTTGTAGTGAGGTGGGGTCGGTCTCTGCTCCCAAGGAACAAGGACAGGACAAGAGGAAAGGGCCTCAAGCTGCAGCAGGGCAGGTTTAGATGGAGCTGAGGAACAATTCCTTCCCCAGAGGGTGCTCAGGCATTGGAACAGGCTGCCCAGGGCAGGGCTGCAGTCACCGTCCCTGCAAGTGTTCACACAGCGTGGAGACGAGGCCTCGGTGCCATGGGTTAGTGGTGGCCTTGGCAGTGATGGGGAACTGGATGGGTGGACTGGATGAGCTTGAAGGTCTTTCCCAAGCTGGTTGGTTCTATGATTCTATGACAGTCAGGGTACAGCACACATTACAGCAGAGTATCTCATGAAAACACAAGCTAGAGTTCCTATTTCCTTTGTGATTTGTACCTTCTCCAAGCAGTGGGAGATTACTTTTCTTCTTGAATTTTGCAGACTTACTATCAAAAAAAAAAAAACCAACCCAAAACCAACACTATTTTTCTAAATATGGAATAATTTGGTGATCAAAATAAAAAGTTTTAATAGTCTCTTCCAAAAATTATACTAGACATAAATCAGAAACCGTAGTTTTATTCAGTGACACTACAAAGAAAACCCTAAGTTATTAGAATGCTAATTTCTGCAAGATATTTCATCTACAAATTGGCCTGAGGTCCTTTAAGAAGAGCATAAAGGATGGCTTTAGATTCAGCCAGGACATTCATTATTTTCTCTTTTAAATGCCTGGGAGAGCTATGTCAAATAGCTGTCCCCATGCTTTTCTTATTGTTTTTCCTTAAGACTGTTATCAGTTACGGTCAGGCTAGAGTCTTCCGATTTGACTGAATTCCAGCTGCAATAGCAATTTATATACCCATTAGTACCATCTCTTTAAGATCTGTGAGAAAGAAAAACTATATGCCTCATTATTTAGATTTTAAGCAAAAAATACATAATAAGCACATTCCTCATTTCCTGCTATTCAGACACATAAATGCCACCAAGTCATGCATTCAAAAGCACAAAAGCACTACCAGAATCAATTTTAACTTTCCATTAGTGAAATCCCATGCCAGTGAATAATATTAATCTGAAATCAAACCTTTTCTTGAACCAGCCTCTGTAGGTGAATCCCACATGACAGCATTGCCAAAAACATGGTGAGCATGTACTGCTGAATTTTGGATATTCCATTTGCCAAGGAATTTAGTACAGCTGGTAATCCCACTTTTTCAATGACACTCTGGAAAGCATTAGGTGAGCGACGAGTAATTCTGCATAAAGCCTACAAAAGTGGAAAAAAAATAGTTATTCTATGGGATTATGATCTCAAGAAAAATAGGGAGAGTAAAAACAGGTGGAGACTTTCCAACAGTTTAGGAATATAGAGAATCCATACTGTTCCATTCATAAGACAAGTATTAGGGAAAAGGCTGCTTATCTTGAGAGACCTAGAATTCTTCTAGATACACTGCTATGCACTCCATGCAGCTGAAACTAAAATACTCGGTATAACAACATCAACTCATACAGAATCACATTACTCTTTCCTTCTGGAGAACAATAATGATGAAGCAGGTTTGCCCATGCTTGAGTTTTTATCAAGCACAGAATGCAGGCAGCATCAGATAATGCTGCACTAGAAATGAACATTGGCAGCAGAAAACACAGAGCTGGCACACACCACACAAATCCTTGTCACCCATAAAAGTGGGAATCTTTGTTTTCTCTGTTTATGGACTACAATCTGATATGTAGTAGTTCATCATTCACCATCTTTAGTTGTAGATACTACTTTAGGTCTAGATACAGTGTTTAGTATAGTAAACATGCAAACTAATCTCCAAATAATTGATTCACAAGTATCAGTGACTAAAACAATTCTAACAGAAAGTGTCTGTACCCAAGTGAAGCAAGCACAAATCTGTTCAGTGCATACTAACTTAGCTATTTCATAGCAAACACCACCAAATGGCCTCCAGGGTGGATTAATCTCAAGTCAACACAGCTTTTCCTTTTGATATTCCTGGAAATACAACCTTCAAGATACTGTAACTGCTTTTGTTCTCTCCAGATAAAGACTCTTTAGACATTTAAAATTTCATTTTCCTCATTAGGATAGGAAAACAGATTATTTCAATTTGATACATGTGAAAATCTGAATTGGTTTTATGGAAAAACTCTAAAGGCAACTTTCTTCTTGAAAAGTAGGCAATATTACCACTTCTTTGTTCTCTTCAGACCAGCTATATTTAGATATTGCTGCTTACTTGGAGTGTATTCAGTAGCCAGGTTTCATCAAAGAGCAACTACAGCCAATTAAATCCACAGAATACTATCATCAGGGAAGAGCTTTCCTTGTAAGAACCTCAGAAACTGCCCAGTTTTACAGTGCATTTAGAAATATTACTCAAAACACTCTTAAAAAAAATAGAAAGGAAGGTATAAAAGACAATAAATAAAGAACTTATGACTTTCAAACAGCTATTTTATTGACACTATTCATCTACTCTGATCCTGTTCTTCCTTATCCTTTCTGGTCCAGTAACCATATCGATTGCATCCTTTTCTTTTTCTCCATGGCCCACACCTTTTAAAACACACAGTCCATCTCAGCTTGTTACTACAGCATGCTCTATTTCCCCAAGGATACAATCCAGCTCTCCACCTCTAGTCCGAGTTCTCAGAACAAGAGTGTGCAGGAGGTATGTGCACCCACTAAACTTATTCTCAAGGGTCACATTACCAGTGAACTGCTGGGACCTAGTGTCAAAGCAACATGGAGCTAACTTGGAATGCTGACATGGTGTATACAAATTTGCCAGTGCCTCAGCTCTCCGCTACAGACCTCAAAATGTCCCTTATAGCAAAAGTAATGGGAGGAAAGAGAATTTTGCAGACTTATTTAAATAATATGTAAGAGAAATCAGAACTCTCATCTCCAGTCTTATACCATACATACAGTCTTGATGCAAGCATAAAAATTCACAGATCAAATAGGTAAAAGCCTCAAGAAGAACTTTTCTGAATAAAGCAGCCAACCAGCCAGACTTACAAGCAAGCTTAAGCCATAAATGCTCTGTATAAAGGTTAAACATTATTTTACATTTTTACCCATATAAGCTCCAAGACTAAGTTTTTACAAAGAATTTCAGGTGCCACAGAACAAAGGCTTTTGTAATGTATATTTTACTAAATAAGTTTATGGTTCAAAAAGGCCAACACATTCTCCCAGTATCTGAGCAGTTTATTTCCTAGGAAAGGCTCTGCCACAAATGCACACTGAGGTAAATATTTAATATATACTTGTATCTTTGAAAATGGTAACTTGATTCCACCATCTACCTCTTCAGCTATATTTTTATTCTCTCTCCTTTATTACCTCAATGCTAGATGTGTCTATGCCCATACTGCTGCTGCAGCAACATTACCATTTTCCATCTGGGAAGCCAACAGTAAACTCATTAGTGAGCCTGAGCTCTCCTCAGGAAATGAGCATCCAGTTACCACACGTAATTTAAATTAAATCAACTTACTGCTCAGGCCTCGGATATTACCTGTACTGGGGGGTATGGTTAAACTCACAGCCCTGCTAGGTGTTTTCTACCTCATAAATCTTATTGTTCCAAACCTGCTTGCATGTCATAGCTCTGTTTGTCTTCTCACCCTGTATTAACTTACAAATTCAGGGCAAAGAATAACCCTGGTGATTTTATAGGAAGTAACACAGTGATTTCAAATACACCTTCTGAGCTAAAGTCCAAGATAGAAAAAATAAACATTTTTCATGTAAAATACCATGCAAAAAAAAAAATCAGTTTTGCAAAAAGTCAATTATTTGAAAGATTAAATGTTTCAGGATCACCATCATAAAAAACGTATGTTCCAAAAAATGATGACTCACAGGAACTTTTCATAAGCACTGTGCAGATTTCAATTTCAGAAACTTCGTAAATATGTTTCAATGTAATCTGAAATGTAACCACATATACATACAGTAAACATGCTCAAACCCATCTCCATTTCAATTCAGAACCATCTGAAAAATAAAGCCCACAACATTTCTGTATCATAAAAGCAAATTCCTCACCGAAATAGCAGTTATCTTCAAAGAATCTACTGTAGAATGTGTGAAAAGGTACCACAAGATAGGTCCAACTTCTCCTGTAATAAATCCTTGTGCATGGCAAGAGAGAGTAGTGCAAACGTTTTCAATTATCTTTGCTGCCAAATGGTTCACGACCCGATCTTCCTATAGGAAGGAGAGAAAAGGAAAACTCATATGCAAATGTTTCTAATGTTTCTGATTTCAGTTCAAATTATTGCCTATGTCCGTATTTTATTCTGTGTTTATTGCCTTAGTGTGGTTTTTTTATTTGATGCTTGCCAAAGTCATTTCACAGGAAACTTCACTTTCCAAATGTGTTTACAGATCCTACTTCGACCCCACTTTCCCTTCTACTGCAATGGAAATTTAATACGAGTATAAATTAACACAAAAGCTTTCAGCTCCAAATTATTACCCAAAATGAAAAAATACAATGGTTTTGTTATGATAGAGGCTTTGAATGATCACTGCTTTGTGAATGAATGTCTGAATAACACAATTATGAGACATGGAGTTACATTGGGGAAAAGAAAAAAACAATTACATTAGGAAAAAACAAATACATTAGTAAAAAAAGTTACATTAAGCCCTTTTTATTCAGAATAACCAACAACCCCCTGGAATAAAGAAGAAACCTTCTTGCAAGCCAAGTTATTACGCAACTCCTTTCACTTCTCATAGTCTTCTGAAACAGACAATCCTAACCAATGTATAACATAAACCAACGGGTCCCATTACTACATCAATTCCTAAACTTCCATAGGGGATTCTGAATCCTTCATATGACAATATCTAGTACTATCAATTAGTATTAGTGATAATACTAATCCAATATTTTTATCGCTAAATTATGTCTCGAAAGCCACTGTACATGTAGCTTTAGCATCTACACAATACTACTAATACTACAACGTCCCCATGGAATAAAAAACACCATGTCAGAAGATGATCCATCAGCACATCACAAACATCTCATGGCAGCAGTTCTTTCTCAAGAAACCTGATACTGACTCCAATGGAAGCTTAACAGAGATCACTTAAAAGCAGAGTCTCTACTTAGTCTGACTTCTCCCCCTCACCTCCTCTTAGGATCTCTGCTTTCATTTAAAAGCAGTCTTTACCTGAACAGAACCGGCAGATTCATTGCTAGTGGTTCTTCAGCTGTGCATTGCCTCCCCTTATCTCAATTTTTAACTATGAATAAGTGAAGTCTTTCAACAGTGTCTTAAATGGTATTCTTGAGTTCAGCAATTTTAATATAAGAAGGACAACCAATTTAATTTATCAAGTCTACTTCATAGACTGGCTTCACAAATAATTCATCATAATATCTAATTGATTGCTTTCATAAACTAATCTCCACATTATCCTACTAACCTCTGGATTTCTGACATTTATCTTCACAATTGGAACCACCAACAACTGTGAGCAATGACTATGAAACCTTTCAGAAAGCAGTACAAAAAGCCTGCCAGAAGGAGAGAATTTAGACTTCATTAAAAATATATTCAATATCCACTCTTCCTTCTACTGACTTAGGCCTTCTAAATATAGATACTGATGTAGAAATACTTGGAAACTCTAGTATAATGCTGTTGAAAAAAAAACCCCAAGCTGTATTCATACTTCTCATGCCAACCCTTCCTGTTCTCCCAAAGAACTGCAGCTCTACTCAAAATACTTCAAAGAAATACCAAAGCCAGTTCTCATCTAAACCAGTTACACTCTCTTATAAAACTCTGCTGATTTCTGTAGGCTCCCTTCTGATTTACAGCCATGATATACCAAAGAGGATTTAGGGTTTACAGCCTTAATTACTGCAATATATTGTATCATTTCAATCTATTAAAGACCTAAATACACAAATACACATATACGTGTGCCAAAATTCAGCTTCTCCAAACTGTTATAAATAATATTAATTTTAAATCTTTTCTGTGAATTATCCAGATTTCTGGATTTCAGTCTTTTTTCTTTTTTAAAAAGCTGAGTTAAACATACACATTTATCAAACTGACTGCACGCATTTTAAAATCAAATCCATAATTAAAACATTAATAGTAGAGTTAAATCTCTCTTATATGTGAAGAGATTATTAGGAATGCCAATTGGGACTCTACTACTACTTCAGGCAGGCAGAAACGCTTAATAAATGCATATAATCCCATTTAAAAACCATAATCTATGCAATGGATAACTATCCCTGGCAGTGTTCAAGGCAGGTTGGACACAGGGGCTTGGAGCAACCTGCTCTAGTGGAAGGTGTCCCTCCCCATGGCAGGGAGTTGCAACAGGATGATCTTAAAGTCCTTTCCAACCCAAAGCATTCTATGATTCTATGTATCATGACAGTGCTCTAAAAGCTCAAGGAAAGGGAGCAAATCAAAGTCATCAATGATTCTATATTGATTTGAAATAACTGAATCTGATGGCTATTTCTATTGATTGTTAAAAACAGTGCACTAGGAGTTTTGGAGGCACTGAAGATACAGTCACTATGCAGCCAACATACTACCTAAAAATAGCATAATAGGTCAAGAGAAAATATCCTATGATCTTTTTATATTATATTGTGTACAGATACATACATTTGAGTAAAAGCATAATACTGATAAAGAAACATTGGAAAAGCTGAAAGATTCAGGAAGTAACACTGTATTCCATCATTGCTCTAAATCAATTTCCATACACTTCTTCCTTTAATCTTAAAAGAATAAAAAGAAACTACAAACATAACAATGAAGTAAAGCTGTATCATCCTGAGCATTTGTGATTATAAGAAGTAAGTCTTAATTTGGCAACAATTTGCAATATAAAGCTTTCTCAGAGAAGAAAATGATTTTAAATACCTTTTGCAGAAAAACAAACAAAAAAGATTCTGTCAGTAAACTGGAGAATTGATATCTAAGGAAGAAATTAAAGTGATAACGCATACGATTCAGATCATTACTTTTATATTATATGCAATTCTATCATTAAGTTAAAAAAACAGATGTCCAAAGGAGAAATTGAAGTGGTGATGTGTATAATTCAGACTATTACTTTTTTTTTTTCTAATAGAGTCAATTCTGTCAGTAAACTAGAAAACTGATACCTGAAGAAGAAATAAAAGTGAGAATATATACGAAGGCATTTTTCCACTTGTATTCTCAAATGTAACTTTGTGTTTATGGATATTTTTGATTCTTCCAATGGTGGTGTTCCAGCAAGTTGAGGCTGCTACAACTGAGATGGAGCTATTTGTATTAGTACATTTGCACTGTACTAGCACAAACAAGCTCAAGTACTTAAAACTCTACTACAAACCTCAAGCATCTTCACAAACAGGAGCTGTAGAAATGCACGTCTGTGCCTGGTTAGCCTGGACACAACTTTAAACTTGTGCTTAATTAAATTTAATTCAAACTATTTCATGTCAAACATATCTGGATTCTGTCTTATTTTTCAAGAGAAATATATTAAGATGAACTACTACTAAGAAAAATTTGACATGTTCCAGGACTAAGAAGTGATCTTATTCTATAAGAATAAATTAGTGTCTTACGGATGTGTCAATTTAGTTTCTCTACACTGAATATTCAGAAATAACAAGCCTTCCATTACTAAATTTATAATTAAATAGCTTCTCACTAATGTGCCTTAGAATGACATCTTACTCCCATTATGAGCTGGAAATAGTCCCCAGTACAAACATAGTCATGTGCACTTGATCACCTGAAGGTTTGACGTTAAATAAGCATCTAGACTCTTCCTCTATTAATCACATTCTGCAGGCAATGAAGATCTCAAAACAAGAAGAAAAAATAAAAAGGTGTTTCTCTTGCTTTCCCCCCTCTAGCAATCTCCAACATGTTTTCTGCCTTGAGCTTTGCCTTGGGCAAAAATAAAGTCAAGTGGTCTCATACAAACAGTAAACGTAAACCCTCTACTCAATTCTTTTTCATTTTACAAATTGGAACTATATGCATGTTTTTCTTCCCTTCTTCTAACACAGCTAAGACATCACCATGTCTTACGAAGAATGAAGAATACAGCATAGCACATGTATGAGAATAAAACTAATTACTACTTTTTTGTCCTCAAAAGAATGCTGACAACCCAGCAGGATACCAATCCAGTTTTGAGAAACTGTATCAGCCACTTTAAAACAGGAAGTAAATCTTGCTCAAAGATTGAAGGAAGATGTATAAAAAACAAATTGCAAGAGGACAGTACAATCCATCAGCAGTATCTCAAAAGAAAGCCACAGCATTAATAAATTCCACATTTATTAACAGTAAGTTATACTTACTGTCCCATTTCCAAAACAAACCAAGCAGCAATACATAAATGTTGAATGTACAGAGAACAACACTGCATTCTTGCATTAATCTCCTGCTTAGGTCATGGTCTTCTCATGATTATTTAAATTCAAGAGCAGTCCTTGATTGACAAGGCACTGCAGTGCTGCAGGCTACAATTCTCACACAATGCCTAAAGGGTTATTACAGTGGAGAAATTCTATTGAGGACAATGAAAGAGCCTTACCCCTTCCCGAAGACACCTCATTAGCACAGTATAAGCAGCTGAGGGAACAACCCAACATCCTCTGGGGTGCTCCCTCTTTTCCTCCTGAAATGAAGCCAAAGGCACAAATGATTAAATCAAAAAAATCACAATAATCTCAGTCACATAAAAAAACAGGTAAGAGCTTCTTAATAAGGTTCATGTTAGAAACATTTCAAATTAATATAGGCTATACAATGTATGCAATTACAGGGCAGTACTACTATTTAATGTTATTTCATGTGCAGCACAGAAATTAATATTTTATTAGATGATTTGAGTAGTCTCTAAAATCCGCAACAGAGTTTGTCCTAATATTTCTGGGTTTCATTGATTCTCACTAATTCACGCCTCCCCCCCAAATATTCTTGCACTCTCAATCATTTTAATTACTCCAGAGACAGCTAATTATTAAGAGTTTCTCTTTAAATGTGCTTTAAATGAGCTTCTCTTTAAACGTGAATTAATTATACCAAACAGATGAAATTAATTTGTAAATTTACTTTGGAAAAAAAAAAAGGTTCCAACTCATACAAGGAGATATAAAGCATTTATTTATTCTTACTCTGTGCTATACCCACCAGTACATATCAACACTGTCCTAAAATTTTTATGTATTTTCTTTGAAATCCCCCTATTAGAGAGGCTAAATCACTGCTAGTTGAATCAAGGGTCTAATTCTTCCATTTGGAGCTAATGAACTCCACTCCCCACCCCCAAATAGCCTCCTGTAAAACTACAAGTTTAAAAAAGGACATTTGGATATCATTAAGATTTAACTAAAACCTCCATATCTAGGCTAGTAACACAGGTATTAGTAACTGGAAAAAAATAGCCTGTTTTGGGAAAGTGAAGAATAATAGGCATTGGATGGTGGGAAGATGATAGACCATGTGCAGCTTGTCTTAATAAACAAAGAATGACAAAAGCTTCTTCAGAAATTCAACATTTCTTGAACTCTACTGGTTATATTAGCAAATTGTTCTTAGCATTCTATGTAACCGTTGATACTGAAAAGCAAAGAATGGGCAAGGTGGGGGTTTAACAATGCAAAACCCAATTATACTGTCTAAATTTCCTGAGTTCCGAGTGGCCTACAGTAATACAACATATAGGAGTGATAATGTCAGGCATTTAATTAAAGCAGGGCACACTAACAGGGAAGATTATTACTGAATTGCTTGGAAAAATTAATTTTCCTTCTTCATTGAAAATATATCAACTTTATTTCAACATATATCAATAGAGAAAATGAGTTTGTTACATCTCCTATTTTTTAAGGTTTATCTGTGTTAACTTGGTATTAGAAGGTATGGAACAATTTTCTTTGGAAGCAATTTACAGACAATGATAATGACTGATTTGACATCTGACAGAGACATCAGATCTACTACACTCCACCACCTTCATTTGAGTTAACACTATGCTGTCATTTAATCACAGCTTGCCTTCCAAGGCTTAGTGTATGAGTTTAAGGAAACATAGGTCAAGTTTCAAAGAAGGATGGTAGGTTACTTTCTAACAGTCAAAAGTGGAACCTTCACCTGGAAAAGGCAGGACAAGACTAGGAGTCAAGACAGAATGAGAATGACAGCCGATGCTGGAAGTGGCATGGGTTTGTTTGTAGTCTGATTCATCTAATTTAATCAGAAATTCTGTCATGATTTTCTGCAACCATACATCTAAAATATACTATTAAATAAAAAGTCTTAAGAAATGGTGCAGTCCTGAAACATTAATAGTTCTCCCGTTCTTCAGACTGACTCATGGCTTTCTGCAAGGTTTAGGCTCTACTTGGAAATAAAAAAATACAAAAGGTGTTTGGAATTTAACACCATTCTTAACTACCTACACATTTAATTTTGCTACTTTTTCCTCATAGACCCTGCCGATTTTGATTAAACTTTAGGGTCTGCACCCTAATAACACAAACAGTAAAACAAGGTCAGTGCTTGCTAACCTACAAAAAACAAAGCAAAGACCACATTTTGTGGAACATGCAAAGGAGGGAGAGCATGAGGACAATAAAACACAGAAGATCACCACAAACCCATAACTACAGTAAGGCAAAATACAAATCCATTTGGTACTTTCGTTCCTTTATCAAGTGACCTCACAGACTATTAACAGGACAGCATTTGGAGCAATTAGATGATGCTGTTACTACAAAGGCTTCAGAAAAGCTAGGGTTAAGCTTTTTCTCTTTGAAGTCACTTTTGTTCCTAATAAGTAAAAGGAAGTATTCTACTCTTCTAATAGGTAAAATAAAGGTGAGGGTTTAGAGGAGCTCCTCTTCAATTCCTACTACTGACAGTATTTTTTTCAATACAAATAACCCCTGTTTTTATTTAATGTGAATGTACTAGTTCTAGACTGAAGGTTTAAATCAGTTCTAGTCAGGAATTACTGTAATTCCACTCAAAATTGGTCAGGATTGCTCTATTTCCTTTGTTGTGAATGCCAACATGCTAGAGTGAGGTCTAACATGGACTCGTTATATCAACAGATTGGTATCATAGGCTGTGCTGATAAACCCTATTTAATTGAAGCCTCTAGCTAAGATGTTCTAACCCTTAGATCTGCCCCTGGGAGTCCAGCAGTCATTATGGTGGTATATTAAATTGGTTTATGAAGTTAAAACTCTATACTTGAAGAATGCAATTTAATTAATCCCAGATGAAGCCCTCAATTGCACTAGTATATTTCTTAAAACAGGCAAAGCATCACAGAACACAGAAGGACAATAAACTGTTGAGGATAGAAATGGCAAAGTAATTTGCTCTTTTTGTCTACTTTTGCATGCAAAATATTTGCTCACACTTGTTAAATTTGTAAGGACCATTTGACAGTCTTACCTCATTGGCTATGAGGTAAAGAAGCTCCCCAAGTGTTGGTAGAAGGCATTGTTTCAACTTGCTATTTCTGAAGTTCTCTCTGATGAGTTCAGTTAAAAGTGTAATTGCCTAAAATCAGTTAAAAAAATAAATCATAGAGCAATACATCTTTTCTCAAGCAAGATGTACTGTTAAAGGTAACAAGCTTTATCTGAAATGCCATCTTACTGATTTAGTCTACACTTACGATAAAGAGCCATTTGCAAAGGATTTAATAAGCACGGAAAGACAAGAAAACATAGTCATTGCAAAGCAGATTATATATGCAACGTGGAGAAAAATGCAATAAGGAAACAGCCTAGGAGACAAATTGTCAGCTATCTGTTCTTCCCTTTCTCTCAGGACAACAGAAGTAGATTTGCCAGTCTACTTACTGTTCTATGTTTCTGTAAGTTCTAAACCATCAGGTTACAAAGAGAAACAACAACAAAAACACCCTGATGTTGTCTTAATCAGAAGACAGGAACTCTTCAGGTTTTGTCTCCTGATCTCCAAGTTTACTACAATGCACTGGACAGATCACATTGGTTTTCTGTACTTCAGGAGTTTCTTTTTGAAAAGCAGACATATTTATATATGTGTGTTTATAGTATTTATACTGAGGGAGTGGAGAGAAATTGAAAATTCTCACTCATCTTATGCAGGTGACCTAGTAAGGAATCACTTTCCCAAACATATGGCGCAGATTTCATCCTAATCTTTAATGCTGGACTCATTCATTTATAGAGGATACTCACTATTTTTGAATGCTTATGATCGCTCAAGTACAAGCCTGTATCGCCCGTGATCATATAATGGCCTCTTCTTCTCTACAGAGTGTAGATTTGCCCTCTGTTCACTGAACACACTGAAGTAATAATATATTATCCTAGCACACGACACAGGGGTTCATGGAATACAACACATACTGAACAGGCAGAATGCACCATTAACCAAACTCAAGACCTTCACATGTCTTCTGCAACAAAAGCTATGAAATAGGAAGCTGTAATTCTATATTACAAGAGATTGTGATCATCTATAAGCATAATTATATATACAAATATTTTTTATAAAACACGCTTAATGTTATGTACTATAAATTATTTGTGAATATAGAATTTTAAGAACACTTTTTCAGTATCCCAAAAGGAGCAAGGCAAGCTGTTCCCTTCTCCATCATGTGCACAGATTACTTCTAATCTCCACAAGATTTAAATATTCTTTTATCCTTTCATAAGGAAAAATTTAAGACATAAAGAAAGAATCTGCCCAAAGATTTTGATTCAACATTAAAGGGTGGTATACATTTTAGGTAAAGTACATCACCTGGAAAAACACACAACAGAAAAACCTAATTCATTTTAACTGCATAGTTTGAGGAATAAAGTCTCCTTCTTAACTATGCACTTGTTTTTTTCTCTTCAACTTCCCTATGTTTTTCCTGTCAGAGAAGTAAACAGCAATGAACAGAAAGTCCTGCAGTGTCTGGTAAAGCAGCTGAAATTTAATACATTGCCTACACATTTTGCACTAGCTGTCAAACTGGATAGATATACTACAGTTCTATCAGGAAAAGAAAGAAGAAAGATTCACATCTGAATAGTCATTATCTTCATTTACAACAACGGTATGCAGAGTTGATGCATTATCTGTAGCAGTCTCCAACCCATTTCAAGCTATATCTAGAAGTTTCTCTGCAGTTTTAGGAGTCTGTAAGTGAAAATTACAGCACATTTGAAAAGATAAAGTATTTTATACCTGAAGATGTAAAGTGGCAATGTACAGATTTACAGTATTATTCCATCTTTGATCTATTAGTATGACTGTCAGCAAACATCAGTGGAAATTAAAACCTATTTGTAATTCTGCAAACCTTTACAGTGATAAAAACTGTCTATGCCTCAAGCATAATGGAAATTACTTACTAGTTCATTTTCTTGTGAGTATACACACGTCACATACCGCAGACAAGTAAATGCCAAAGCAATCTCACTTTCCTTGGAGGAAAGCACCCACTAGGCTAAGAAAGTACATTGTGCTTACATTGCCACTAACCAGAAAAGAAACTACACTAATATTTATACCAAGTACTCAAGGCGAGCAGCCTTCTCTGAACATCTAAAGCATGCTGCCTACCTCCCTTCTCAGTAGGACATGAATAGTTAAAACACTACAAAGGGCAAGTGCACTTAATCAGAGGTTGGATCCACATGTACCTGTGATTCACTGCACCTCAGTGAAAGCTGGTGAAATACCCTGCAATAAACAAGTGGCTTGAGACTGAAGAGCTGGGCAGCAAGGTGGAAACACACTTTTGCCAAACTGTTCTACGGCATCCAGATACAGAAAGAAATGGTCTGAATCAGTGAAGTATTCAAGTCTTGCAGATGTTGTGTTCAGTACAAGAAACTGGGTCATGGAATGAGGAAGCCTGAAGGGAAGTCTGACCAACAGGCTATGGACATGGTACTAGTGTGGCCCAGAATGTAGAAAAAAGATAAGCAAATGCAATATATATTGCACAATTTATGCAGATGTATAATTTATATTGCTCCCTAGAGGAATTCTAGAGGAGATGGATGTGTGACACTTTTCCAGGTGGAATACAACACAAAACTGGTTCAGCAGGAAAACTCTTGATGCTTTCAACTTTCATGGAACTGCTGCTCGAAGAGGTCTTAGCAGACAAGTAGCCAACTAGATGTCATGAACTCCAAGGGAGGCTCCAACAATTGCTTTGGAATCAACTCAAGATCTCAGAGGGTTTAAATCAGACACAAATAATAGCAATTAACTTACAAATCTGTTACATTTGCTAACAAATCAAAATGCAACTAAAAGAACAGTCTACAAGCTTTGGGATTTGTTTGCTGGATTGGGGGGGGGGGACCTGCTTTATGTATAATAAAGTTTTTTCTTCCCCTAGTCTGTCCTGACAGATTATTACATGGCCTTAGCTGCAGATGTTCATGAATGTATCTGATTTTCACCCAAGCCCTTAAGTTTGAAGCTTTTTAATGGCAGGCAGGACCAGGTAAAAACATGCACTTCAAACAGGAGAGATACCCTGGTTTTGTTTCTGTCAATGGTAAGAAAGAAGATTGCTCAAGAATCCATAAAACAGTTCCAGGATTATAAAGATTTCTGCCTTCAAAACTGTGGTCAGTGGCAATCAGCTGGAGCTGCTTTATACCTAAAGATGTAAACTGGAACTAGAAACCAGCTGTATTGGTTTCAGCTGAACCCATGACACCAGCCTTCACAGAACAGTATTTGGCAGGAGCAACCAAAGAAGAGGGCTTTTTCCTTTCCTTTTTATTCTCTTTCCTTTTGTTTCCCTTCATGTAACTATTACCAGTATACGCAGGTTTCTACCACCCATCCATGCCTTTTCTGAATATCACGTCTCTGGAATTTTATTCTTTTTATAACTCTATGTGAAGTTACCCTAAGTCATCGTCTTCTGCTTTAGAAGACACTGTCAGAAGGCAGCTGGAAACGAGGCTTCTGAGTGAACATCAGTGTGCAATTTCTACCACAAAAACATGTTGTAGCTTAATTGTGTCAGTCAAGTGAGAATGTGCTTTAGAGGAAAAGGCTGGATTTTTTATTCCCGTCACTAGTCTAGAACTTGACTAATTTGCAAGCAAACAAGACTGGAAAATGGCTCTATTTTAGATACATTCTTGGTTGCAAGAGCTAAACACTTTGCTGACCAAACTGCACAACTTACACAGATGCAAAATTGGTTGGCTCAAAAGAAATTAGAAGTGTCAAAAATAGATTAAAACCAAAGTATTGGCTTTATGAAAACTGGGGTAGCATTCGAGACTATTATTTAGCATGCAATCATTTGAAACCTATCAAATTTCTACCAAACTAAGCAATAATAAAAAATAATAATAATAATACAATTATTTATCAGTGGCTTTTGTTTTGAAACCTTTAGAAGCAACCTAAAACTGATTGAAAGGCTGTGGTACAAACTCATTTCTTTTTAAACAGAATACACACATGAAAACATTTTGAATGTATTACACATAGAAAAAGCTCAGGGATTACTCTAATAGGTATCAGAAGACACCATCCTACATGGAGGATTTGTGTTTAAACTCTGTGACAGAAACAAAGAAGAGCTGAATATACTAAAAGAGAGCCTTTATGAAATGAAGTTTAAGTCAGACAGCGGCAAGCCAATTCTGGAGTTAACTGACAGATCTGCTTGTTAGCTGTAAAAGTATGGACTGCCCAAGCAACCCAACTGCATTTTCTACATACGGATTTAGATACCTAATTTTAAATAGAGAGAGGAAACTGCAGGCACTAAGTGCTCCTTGGCTTTAGAATATTTGGCTTATTTTTCCCCTCTGTGTGAAACAGTTCTCAGTGCTCTCGAGAGTACAGGCTTTACCAAGAAAGTTAAGGGTATGTTCCCAAAGGTAACTGGCTGACAGTTTACTTGTTAACATCACATTCATTTAGTACCACTGTCAGGCTGACTCTTCCCATTTTTAATACTGCAATATAGCCACCTTTAGGTCTGTGAAAATGGTAGCAGTGTACCTTAATGTTCCTGTACTGGATTTGATTTTGTCTTGCCTTTTTTTTTTTACTTTAAGGAAAAAAATATTAAAATTGATATCCATTTTGTCTTGCTCTGTGTATGAATAAAGTCAAAACACTCTTATAAATCGTAGCGTATTTTCAGTCTAGACTCCCAATTACAACCAATAAAGGCAAAAGTATTCTATGCACGTATAGAACAGGACACAAGTATATTCTAAAGCCTCAGGAAAGTGATTCCAGAGGAGGGACAAACTGAAATTAGTTCAGCAAAAAAACCCACACGGTACAAGAGTCAGAAAAACAAAGCTTCTCGCTGCACGGTACATACATAACAAAGGGAGCTGTCAAACATGTGGTACACTTCACATGATCACCATATTCTTCTGGAAGTAAGTTAGCCTGAAACTGCTTATCACCCTAGGACCAAACCAAAAAGTCACATCGTATTCACGAATCCTCCAGCTGCCTTTCAAATCAAAGCAGCTTGCAGGCTTAATTCTTTGCAGCCCTAGGAAAGAATG